TAAACCTTTAAAAGCATCAAATCCTGAGCCCCACCTTTCATATAGTATCCATTGCACTTTATTATATAGGACCCAAGCCGTAGCCATGACAAAAAGCTGGTCATCCAAAAACCGGAGCAATAATGGAGACTAGCGGTAACAGCTGAACCCCTAAACTTAAACCCTAAACCCCGAAACCCTAAAGCTGAAACCCCTAAACCCTAAACCCCTAAACCCTAAACCCCTAAGCTTAAACCCTAAACCCCTAAACCCTAAAGCTGAAGAGCTCTTGCAGGCAGCTGCCGATCGCCGTCAGGCCGATCTGGAACATCTGGCCCGGCTGCTGGAGGAGCTTTGGGAGGTGAACAGACTTACCCTAACCCCCCAGGTACCTACTATATAGGGCCTTATGGGTAGTTCTCTAAATTAGGGTCCCTTTTGGGTCCCCAATATAGTACGGCACCCTTATAAAAAGGACCCCAAAAGAGACCCTAATTTAGAAAACTACCCTTATAAGGGGCTCTAGTGCCCTATATAGTAGGTACCTGGGGGGTTAGGGTTAAATGGGATGTAAACCGGAGAACCACCAAAAAAGTTCTGACAGCAAGGGAACCAAAAGACAATGTCAGGGTGACACAACTTAAGCCATCCGACTCCCAAGAGGCCAGAAGGGCAACCNNAAACCCTAAACCCTAAACCGGTCTGGCTTCGGTCTTTGGCGTTCAGGATTCAGGTTGCGAGGTGTCGGGGGCTCAGAGGAGGGTCCAGGGACCGGGGGAAGTCCCAGTTTCTGAAGCGTTTCTTTTGTAGGGTGAGGGTTTAGGGTTTAGGGTTTAGGGAGGGCCCAGATCTCCACCGCGAACAGGGATTCGAATTTATAAATGTGGGCCTCTTGTTCCGGGTCTTTTGCTGACGTCTGTCGAGAGGGATGCAGAGTCCGATGACGTTGGTTTCAGTTGAAGCAGGAAAGAAAACCTCCTCTGACGAGCGCATTCGTATCACCATCGGTTGTTCTTACATGCGAGTCAAAATTCGGACAGCTGTCAGAAAAGGGAGCTGTACCGGACTTGAAGAAGTCAAAGCAAATTAAAACCCTAACCCCAAATGGACCCTAAACCCTTGATCCTAAGCCCAATTGGACTAAAGCCTAAACCCAAAATGGACCCTAAACCCTTGACCCTAACCCCTACCTATAGTCTCCATTGTAGTTCCTTCTTGGGGTTACCTATTCAGGATCCTTAATATAGAATTGGTTAAACCAGACAAAGGAACTACAATGGAGACTACATGGGGGTTTCCGAAAATAGGGGACCCTAATATAGTACCCTAAATAATCGGATCCTTATTATAAGGACCCCAAAATAAGGTACCCTAATTTTCGGAAACTCCCGCATGTAGAGCCTCAACCTCCCGGAACTCGGAGCGTCATCGAGCGCGGAGGAAGCTCGTGGAGAGTGCAGCGAGCAGAGGGCGAACATTCTCCGCAACCAGGCCGTGGGGCCTTAAAGGAACCCATAAGGGAACCTTGTAAAGGAAACCCTTATGCAGGATCCCTTAAAGGAACCCCATAGGCAAATGAATTAGGCAGCAGTCGTCGTTGGAGTTTCGTGTCGTCCATGTCATAATGGCTCTTCTTCTTGCTATGGTACTTACTCGTTTGTTAAGTTGATACTGTCGTTCTTCTTATTAGTGTTACTCGTAGTATGATTCTTCTTATTGGTATTACTCATGCTATTATTAGTGTTCGCTTTGTGTTGGTGTTGGTGTTGTTATTGTTGTTGTTGTTGTTGTTATTGGTGTTGTTGTTGTTGTTGTTGTTGCTGCTGCTGCTGCTGCTGGTCTTGTTGTTGTGGTTCTGGTTCTGGTTCTGGTTGTTGTTGTCGTCGTCCTCGTCGTCGTCTCTGTTTTGTTGTTTGTTGTCTCGTCGGCGTCGTCGTCTCGTGTCTGCTGCTGCTTTGTATCATCAGTATACTGTTTTCGCGCTCCCTGCAGAGCCAAGGTGGTCTCCAAGAATGGAAACGAGACGATTATATGTTGGAGCGATGGAGAAGTTTGGTTCAAAGGTTAGTCTGGGACAACTGCAGTGGAACACTGCTGACTTTTAGAAGCCTTGCATGTGTGGTCTGTCATTGTCTGTTAAGCAGTTCGTCTTGCCGCATTCAGATCGGCCATCGCACGGACAGCAGATTTGCACGATCTCAGTAAACCTATTGAGCTTATTCCGGGAAATTTGTCTGAGTGTTTCCGATCGCACTCTCCGTGCAAATTTGTAGCCACACGCCAAAGGTCCGCGGCAGCTTCAAGAAATGTGTTCTTTGCAACACAGACGACAGCCTGTGTTCCAGCCAACATACACTTGAAGGACTTGCCGGTAGCCGTCGCATCCCTGTTGTTCGTCGTTTCACCACAAGGTGTAGAATCACCAGTCTCATTATCCTCCTCTTGACTCACCCTCGATGCTAGAACGCTTGGGGAGAAGAGAGAGGGAGTGTCAAAAAACATTGGTGAAGCAGTGACGCAAAATTCGAGCGTTTGGTGCGCACATTCTATCGACTCTTCTTCTGAACCATGCAGTGCAAACCACAGTGGAGCTGATCAAGCCGGGTCGTCTAGCGCATTTCAGCTCGGCCATAGTCAAATGTTGCCTGACGCAGCCTGTCCGCAAACTATTTGGATGCTTTGGCAGCGGAGATATCGATTCGGCAGACGCATCATGCGAAGAGATTCACCGTCGTGCTGGAAACCCAGGTTTCCGCAGATGAAGTGAAGGCACGTCGCGCAGCTGCAAGCTCGAATCTCAGGTTGAACTCTACGGAGGATCTCAAAGTCTGAGGAAGGGTCTTCTCATCGGTCGCTGGCGTGTGTTATCTGAGTTATCCCACTGAGGCTCCCGCTTAGTACAGGCACACCAGCGAAGCATTGCTGCTACTCGCAGCACGCCTGGCCAATCTCCTACACTACTGAAAAGTACATCCTTCAGGATGTCATGCCGTGTCATTGCATATGGCTTTCTAGTTGAACCTGCGCCCCTGAGGCAGCCGTCTGACTCCACCAGAACCCGCCCGCACCACTCAGCGGACGCGCTTCACGGAGCCCAATTCAAGGACGGGGCGGCCAGGGGGCTAGCAATAGCCAACATGGACATCATGTTCCCCTGATCAGAACTTCAAGGTTTCAATCTTCAATCCAGCTTTGATAGCTCTGGCTTTCGTCTGATGGTCTGGCTCTCGGAGATTCCACGTTGTGTTTGTATACCATAAGAACGGAGAGCGGAACATAAATCTGCGTGCCACGGTACGTAGGATGCTGCGACGGCAACCCAAGGGCCGAAACCCCAAACCAAAACAGTTGAAATATCCCTTGCAATTGGCTATACGAACAGAAGAGGCAAAGACCAAGATGCAAGCACGGGTATCTGGCAGCAATCTTGGTTCCAGAAGCAGGGCAGCCTACAGCGGAGTGTTGGAGATAGCCGATATTGAATCCTGGCACGGTTGAATATGGGGCCATCCCCTCAGACGAAAAATCTATTTGCCTTCCCTTTCTGGAATGAGAACATGCACCGCAGATGATGACAGTCACGGTGCCACAGAGTTGGTGGCACTAGTCATCAGGCAGCAGCAGCAGCAGCAGCAGGAGGCGGAGGAGGAGGAGGAGGAAGAGGAGGAGTGATAAGAATAACAATAATCATAATAATAGGAGTGGTAGCAGGAGGAGGACGAGGCGGAGGAGGGGGAGGGAGAGGAGCCGTAGCAGCAGCAGCAGCATCAGCAGCGGCAGTATCAGCAGGACTAGGAGCAGGTGAGTAGGGGTGGAAACAGGCGTCGCGCACGTCGAAATCAACATTGCTCGTGTTCAGGAGGTTTGGGCACGAGGACTTCGAAGATCTCTCCCGCTCCAGGCCCGAACCCTGGGAATTGCTGCGTGTGGAAACTCGGCCTCGCAAGCAGAGGTGGCTTTTCTTTGGCGAATGCCAGTGCGCGATATCCCGCCAAAGAGCAGATGCCTTGTGGTCACAAAGGACCGCCTGTGCAATGCAGAAGGCGTAGGACGCGTATTCAGGGGATTCACGAGCCATGCGAGCCATACGCTCAGGAAGATGGTCGCCCTGCAGGCAGAAGCACAGGCTCACTTTGCGATCCTCTTGGCCGAGATATGTCCTAAAACGGTCGTCGGCTTGGCATTGCTCGTCGACCTCTCTCTCTCTCTATGAATCCATGAGGCCCCGCCTCTTCGAGTGTACTGCACTTTCGACCACATCACCGGGAGGCTCTTTCTCAGGATACCAGTGCTTGTAGCAGCAAAATGACCGGCTCCACAGCCCTGCGCTCCTCAGGGGCCCAACAGGGGCCCTTGCCGAGTTCTCGTCGATCGCTGCCGCTGAGAAAGCCCAGAGCTGATCGCATTGCTTGTGTGAGCTTCGTCGCCTTTGCTCTTCTGGACGGTGCGCGATGGGAGTGCTTTCTTTCACCTTTTACCCCAGGCTTTAGCGGCGTGCAGAATGGTCCCAGCCGCAGACAGAGAATGTCACAAACGGGACATGGGCCGCAAGTTCGTCGTCGAGGCCACTCCGTATTGAACATCTTAGGCAAGTGCTGGCAATCACAAGCCGCCAAAAACTCTCTGGCGCCAATGTGGTCTCATGGCTGCAGATAGTTACAACCAGAATTCCGTCAATTCTGTCGCAGAGTCAGTGAAAGTTGTCCTAGATGCATTCATCAACTGAGGCTTTGCCGAGCTGCCCAGTTTCACGAAGGCAAACTCAAGCTCCTGCTCTGGGGAAAAGTCTGCGGGCGCTCGAAGTGCTTCGATCCAAGAATCTAAGTGCTGCTGCATCTCGCCGTCATTCCGCCGGCTCAGAGAGTGGGTTCTGCACAATATCAAAGCAGGGTTGGGTCTTTCGAATGAAGGCAGATGTAGGTCAGAAGGCTTCCGATCGCCGTGCACAGGGCATGTAAGAGCCACATTCTTGCACATGGGAAACATTAGCTGAGACGTGGAGCGACACATGCGCAGCAGTGACCTCGAAACTGCTGCGGATCGGCGGAGCGATGCTGTCATTGGCTGAGCAGCTTTGCAATGCTGAATCTTTTCACTGCAAGTCAAAGATAAGGCCATGTGTGGCCTTGCCGAGCTCGCTGCCGCCAGTCGCGGGCTTTGTTTTGTTGCAGAAACCCCTCGAGCGCTGGTTCACGGTTTGGAGACCCAAAACAGATCTTGTCTCGGGCTATTGGGTTTGGATAACTCGAATCTTCGTCCACAAGTTGGGCAGCCCCCGCTGAATCTATGCTGATTTGCACACACCTCGATCTGCTTCGCTCTCGTGCTCCCGCTCCTGCCTCGGGCGATCCGATTCTTTATGCTGAGGTTCGACAGGCTGAAAGCTCCAGGCTTCCGTTGCTCGAGCTGTTAGCCAGGCACTACCACAACTACAGTACGGGGGATGCTTTGCGAAGCACTTTTTCTTGCTTTTTGCTGCAACCTGGAAAGCCAGAGTACAGTTCACGAGAAGCCTACTCTTGTGGGCGCAGGGATCATCAACAAGAGGAGCAACCCCTGAACACTTTGCACATCTTCTTGGCCAGTGCCAGGATGTACCCCGGAAGCAGAGTCTCGAGTGCAAGGCTGTGCGCTTGCAAAGTGCAGGAGGCTACGGCAGGGTCATGCGCGGACCAACTAGCCTTTCTCTTTGTGTGGACGGCAAGTGCAGGTAGATCAGGTTGTGCAAGAAGGCGTCCAGCCGTCCCGCTTGGCGCAACTCAGACGAGGCATGTCAGGGGAGCACCGACTGCACGTTCGCGTTAGAGCCGGAGGCCAGAAAGTGGCCTCTGTTGCAGCCTTTGCAGCATCCCTACTGGGGTTGGCTCACCTGGTACTCTATGTCTTCGCGCCTGGCTCCAGGCACAGGGCAGCTGGGTTGACCTGAAAGCCTGAAAGCATCTGTGCGCTGCCAGGCCTTCCTGGCTGGGTCGGTCTAGGCGTCACGGTGTCGAAGCCCGCGTAGCCTTGTCCGGATTTCTGTCAGCTCACCCGCTGGCACCGAGGCTGCAAAGCCAAAAGCGACAGATCTTCAAACTGAGCGCGTAGAGTGTCCCGTTGCTGAGGAATTTCCCGGGCTGCTCTTGGCGAGCAGCGCCGTCACCGGTGCTTGTGAGGCAGCCGCACAGGTGAATTGCAGCAGGAACTATCGCAGCTTGTGCGCCCAGAGAAGTCCAGAAGCCTGGAAGAGAAGGTCATGGATCGATTGGGCTCACCGATGAGGTACATATCTCTTGCAATCGCTGGCCTGTGCTATATCTTTGATGAGCACTTGCCTCAAAGCTCATGGTTTTGGGCTTCCCTCTGAAGTTCAGTGCAAGAGACAGGTCAGCCGTAGCCCAGCAGATCCGAGCCGTGGCATCCACCGGCACCACGGGAGCTTTGTTCATCGTGGCGTACGTGGTGCCCGAGCCCAAGTCTCTCTCTCTCTCTCTCTCTCTCTCTCTCTCTCTCTCTCTCTCTGGAGTTTTGGGAAGCACCGATGCCAGCAGAGGTATTCCTGCCTGGACTGGCTAAGCAACGGCATCAGCATCTCCGAGGCTGCGCCCAAAGATGAGGGGGAGAGGGGGAGTGGATATGTGCGCAGCATTCACGCCCGAGAGGTCTTCCTTGGCGTTCGAGCCACTCGTAAACTTGGCCTTCCGCAGCCCTGGAAAGCGGCGGAGCCCAACGGCGCGAGGCACACACGCTCTGTTTCTTTTGGTTCTGTTAGCGGGGAAGGGGGTAACCCGCTCGGTCGCGCACACTTTCGAGCTTCGGTCAGGCTCTTGCCGAAGCTCTATACCATTGCAGAGGTCATGTGCCTGTTCGAAATGGGCAGGCGCCTGGCTTCAGATGCTGCTGTCAAGACATGACCTCATGACAGCGGAAGTTTCTGGCACTCTCTGTATCAAGCGGGGATTGCTGCAGCCACCCAGCTCGCTTGATCGGTCAACCTGCGGCATCCAGACTTCCAACGCATGAGATCTCTTCTTCTGCATAAACAGCTTGAGAAGCCAAACAGCAAGACAAGCACAGCCTTTGCGAAGACTACCCACCTTCATGATGCGATCAGGTCTAACCGACCTGCTTACTGAACTGGTTCGATTTCCAACTCTGTCTTGCCGACTGTTTCCGTGCTAGAGGGTGCTATCATGCATCCCTTCCCGCCTCCCTGCATGGATTGTCGCCGACTGCAGTTGTTTGTCTCAAGCTCAAAGATTGAGCACAGCTCCTCCGTGGTAAACAGCACGACAAGTGGCTGCTAGTGTTCGGGCCCGGATGCTGCAGCATTCCTGTCAAGCGCATGGTCATCATCATGTTTCACGGCGTCGACAGTGTTGCATTCAAGTCTTCCACGGCATACTTCTTGCTCACGTATATTCTTCGGCGGACTGCAGGGATCTGTTTTTAACCCACGTGCCTCTAGCGACTCAACATGGGTTCTGGAGCCAGCGCCGACGGAGCAACAAGTGGGCCACACATCGGTGCTCTCACGCAGGGTTTTGAGCTGTGCTCTGCTGCAGTTTGCCTTGGACTGTGAGCGTTGGCAGGTATCCCCAGAGATTCCAGAACTTCAGCGCCAAGTGGGTTGGCTGGAACTTCAACTAAGGACCGCAGCCCTTGCTCAACTCTTGCGCACCTTGCTAGTCTTGCTCCAGTTCACCACAGGCAGCCAGAGATTCTGAAGAGCCGCGCCAGCCAAGAGGCCTGGATGCGACTTGGTGCGAAATTTGTCCAACGTTGGAGGCGCGAGGGATTCAAGAGAGGGTTTTGATTCGGGACTTATTCCTTTCAGAGCTCTGAAACAAGCCGCTACACCAGGCCTCATGTGCCAGTTTGTCAGTGTCAGACATGTGTCCGAAGCACATGACCGCCTCAAGGTTTCCAGTGGCCATCAGATCACGGCTCCTTGGAAGAAAAACCTGCGCGGAAGTCCTTTGCTTGCCCACACCAAGCGAGCTGGGATGCGTTGTCTCGCGAGCTTCGTCACCCAAGACTCCAAGACCTCGTAAAGCAGGCAAGAATGCATCTGTCGAGGCGAGACTCACAAAAAATGGGAAGTATGGATTGTGTCCTGGTTGCATGTTGCATGCTCGACGTCACAGATCGTGTGGGGTTTCATCCGCAGGATGTGCGTTGACAGCCCTGCAGCGTCATCTGATGTGAAAAAGTTCGACTTGTCCCTCTGCTCAGGAAACTTGCAAAACGTGGTGACCATCTCTGGCGAATCATAGAGATCATGCCAGAAGGTGCCTGCAAGCATGAAGTGCAAAGGGGAGGCTGAGACACAGCGAAAGGGTGAAGTTAGCTGCAGCTTCAAAGCTGGAGGTACTGTGCACGAGCACAACGAAGCAAACCCGCAAGAAACCCTGCGGGAGAATGATCTCATCCTCAAAATCAATGGAGAGGACTGCAATCTCCCAACTTGTGAAGCCAAGCAAGCACGATACTCCAAGAGGATGCGGACATCAGGGTTCTCGAGACGGCAGCATCCTGGCAGCTCTATGCCTTTAGAGTCGGAATGCGCGTAGCAGATTTCTTCCTTGCTGTGAGGAAGACGGCTCGCAAGTGGAGGCTGTTTTTCAGTCTCTCTTGACCAGCATGTAATTGGAGCTTCCGTTTGTTGCTTCAGGCGGTTTTGCCGCCTGGACCTGTGCAGGTGACCGTACTTCGTATGCCACGGTCGGTGGCGCCGCCTCCCTACGCGTTCGGCGTAAAACCCGCCTGCATGTGAAAGGCAAAAGAAGGGCCAGGCTGCACCAGCATCCGGTGCCAACCAGCTTTGATCAGACCCTGCCGGGAGAGCTGTGTCTGCAAATGGGCGTGGCAGGAGGCTGGAGTGGCCCAAGCGATGCTCCAGTGACCCGGTGACGCTCCGCTTTTTCACATCACATTTCAGCACACCGGAGTGGTTTGTCTTCTCTGGCTAGGTACCAGCTGCATTGCAAGTCGAAGACTACATGTAAGAGCGGAGCGCAAAATCGAATTGCGTATGACAATGGACCGACACGGGTTCCATAGTTGTGTGCCTCGTCGTAGAAGTAGCGGCAGGCAGGCTGAAACCTGCGTTTGGCAGATAGATTCACCACAGACCCAGCTGGAGCTTGGTATCTCGTGGCAGAAAACATGATTTGGCTGCAGGGTACGCAGGGCTCAGCCATTTGAGATGCCCAAGCAGTCTTGCCATGCTTGGACAGGTCCACCTTGTGGCGCCTTGGCCGCTTACTCCCCGTGCTCGCAGCTTTGGACGAGCTTCGCCCAGATCTCAAGAGCCCCAGTGCAGTGAGCGACAGCACGCTTGCGGCTTGTGTTCGAGGCCGGATTTCCTCCCGTCCAGAGCAGCTTAGCTCGCCCGAGGCGTGTAGAAACAAAGATGAGGGAGGGACCCCCCAACGGCTTGTCTGTGGCATAGGAATATAGGAATGTTGAAGGTATGGCATGTGGCCAGGCTGTTCTGTGCAAAATCGCTGCAACCTTTGTCCCACGTTGTGGTGAAGGAAGCAAAGGGTGGGGTGGGATGTTTGTTTTTGGCATTTGAATGCTGCGGCTTTGGCGCGAAGGACAGCCGTGGGGTGCAGACTCTAACTAGCCTTCACCTAACCTTGGGGCGGTGTCCAGCAAGGGAAGAGCCACATGCCTGAGTGAAGAACCACCGCTCGGAAGGGTTTTTGCGTAGCCGGCCCACTGCACTGCCGGGGCATCCAACACACCCCATCAGAGACGATCCCGGGTGCCCGGGCTGTTCTGAATTAATTAAAGCCTGCTTTCGAGAGCCAGCGGCTGTTGGGGCGAAGTCGTCTGGAGACCTGCGGGTGTCGGAGGGTCGACAGTGAGAGGGCCGACACGCCTTGACCCCGGAGATGAGCGAGAACATCTCGAAGACACGGGGCGAGCATGGCCAAGAAGCCTGGACACAGACTGGAAAGTTTAACATGCAGCGGCTAGATGTTCGTTTCCTGAGACGTGGCCTGACGGGCTGTCCTACAACTACAAGCCAGCTACGGAGACCCTGATGATAGAGCAGCCTGGGTGCTCCAGGGAACACACAGTACTGACATGCTAACCAGAGCTTGGGGCAAAGGGATCTGGAGAGTGAGGCCCTGTAGTGGTGCCCGCCTCGCAGACGGGGAGAGATCCCGTTCGTACAGCCGGCATGGCTATTGATGCCAAGATAAGGCGTTTGTAACAGGTTCTCTGAGAGAGTCAGGGGTCACCAGTTGTGAGGATACAGTGCTTGCGAAGTACAACACGGGAGGCATGCAGTCCAGAGCTGGGGGACGTAGAAAAAAACAAGCAGGATCTGGACCAAATGTCCTGAGAGGACCCTTGAGTATGATTGTAACTGTTATCAGTGTTGCCTGTCCATCCAGCCAAAGGTCTAGAGGAGGTCCACTGCAAGCATCCTCGCTTCCATTCGTAGGGGGTGCGCACTTGGAGGAGCACGACTGCAAAACCCCATGTGTGGTCGAGTGAACGTGTTTTGTTTCATATGGATGTATGCATGTATGTATGTGTGCTTATGCATGTGCAGTACAAGAATGGTAGCTTTGCATGCCCTGCAAGGCAGCGCAGCTCAACAAGGGGGTAGGCCGGAATCTGCAGAGACAGGCCATCAGAGTAAAAATTGCTTGTGTGGCGCGGCTGTAGGCTTTTGGGCCTGGTCTGCTTTGTTGGCGGATGGCTTAAGCATCGTCGGCGTCTCTGTAATTGATGGGTTTTCATGCTCAGGAAGCTGCTTTGCTCGGAGTGCTGTGTTCTTCTTGGGCGCTGGGCTCGGAAAAGCCTTGCTGACTGCCGCATGTCCGAAGAGAGATTCCGAGAAATGAAAATTAACAGACTAACAGATACTGTAAGAAAGTTCAGTGGTGGACGATGCCATGCAGTACGACACGACTTGCTGCGGTTCAACTGCATGCAAACTCGCACAACTACTCACCCAAGACGGGAGGCTTCCAAGCCCTCAAAAACTCCAAATCATCACATCTGTCGAAGTGCAAAGCACGGGCTTGTCACCGACTTGGCTCGAGTCAAGCATGTATGATTGAAGTCGTTTGAACATCAGCAGCTGCACTTGCCCGTCTGCAGTCAGGGAGAAAACCTGCCTTGCCTGCTGCTTCGAGCAGACCTTGCATGAACAAGTCCCTAAACTTGTTTCAGATAATTCTTTTTACCGGCAAGCCCGTGCATGATAGAAGAGAGTTGAGGAGGAGCCGCCACGTAGACAGAGGAAGCTGATCCGAACGAACATCGAATTTTCGTTTGCATACTGGCACTCGTGCAAAATTGGTCGAGTCAGGAGCAGCGGCTCAGGCAGGGGTCGAGCGAAAGAATGGGCCGACTCAGGAGTTTTGGGATCTGGGTTTGAGGAAAGGCCGCGAGATGGGAGCATGCACGCATTTTCGTCTTGGGTTGAAGGTGCTGTGCCACCCATGCGTACATAGCAAAATGCCTCAACGCTGCCGCGGTGTTCCAGTCGGAAGAAGTGCAAGCATGGGTGCAACCTCCAATGTTCCTGACACGTCTCGCATGCTCCCGTTCCACTTTTTTCCGAGCACGTCTTCGTCCGGCATCCTAAGGCGTGTCGATGTTGTAAGAACTACTCAGCAGCCCTACTTCCATTGGGCCCGGTCGGTCAAGTGGCTGTTTCTGGCACCACGCCATGCACAGAGCAGTCCTCTCAAAATCCTGCACGCAACAGCCAGTGCAGTTTCCCCAGCACAGAAGTCCTACATCGTGGCACGATCGGTAGTGTGGTGTGGCGGGTGGCACGCCGTACTTTCAGCTCGTCTAGACGCTCTGTCTGCTCCATAATTAGTAAGAGTGGTATTGGCGCCCTGTGGTGCAACAACTTTCCAAGCAGCTCGAGGTTCCAAAGCATCTTACCCCGACACACGAACGAAATTCTCACGCATCTGAAGCCTAAAGCGAGTTTGAGCATCGTGAACGGAGATGATATTCCTCAGCCTCCTCACGCTGACAGACACACACGCACACTTATTTGAAGGAGCTTGAAATGGAACAGACCTGATGAGACGGATCCAGCAAGTTGCATAAGGAGGTAAAGCTGCCACGGAGCCACCAAGAACAAGTCTGCCAACTTGACAGGGCCGAACAACAGCCAACTGCGGCAAATCCTAGATCCTGCCATGCTAGTGTTGCCAGTTCATTTCTGGCACAAGCTCCCCTCGCCCGAGTGCCATTGCGGCACCTTCGCATTCACACCCAAGGTGAAGTTAAACAAAGCAGGCAAGCAATCAGCATTTTGAATCGAAGGCTCGACACCTCGGCTACTCCGGACCAGGGGTTGCCTTCTCAGGCCGCGGCCTTGCTGGATGCGAGCCGTTTAGTTCAGAAGAAGTTGGCTTACCTTGGAGGCCTTGCCACCGCCGCCCTGGCTGCTGCTCCGGCTTGCGTGGCTGCCTCAGACAATGATGATCCACGGGCGCCCTGTTCATCCTTTCGGCCGCCGCACCAATCGAAAGAGCCTCGCCTAGCCTTAGGTCGTCTTGGCCGCAAGTTTCATGGGCTGGTCCAGATCGGAGTCTGCCTTGGTAGAGCTCACCAGGCCACATTGTTGTTGTGGGCAGCGCATATGTGACGAAAGTTGTTGCAGCAGGGCAAAGCCACAGCAGCCATGGGAAAGACTTGGTCGCTACGACTTGCAGAAGCTTGAGGCAGGTTTCATGCAGTTCTATTTCCCGAGGCTTCCGCTCTCGTCTTGAAAGCATACTGTGCTCATAGAAAGCATACTGTGCTCAGTGCAGGGGCTTTATCTCGACGGCATCACGAAGTATTACTCCGAGTTTTACGACAGGCGGGTGCAAGAGTCAGCCACATCTCTGCATCGAAGATCCCAATGCCTGTCAGACCTTCGAGCACCGGTGCCGCATCCTGGAAGAAACAGCATAGACATTTCGAGGGAAGGTGTAAGCTTGTAAGCAGTTCCGAGAGTTGTTGCATGGAGCAAGGTCAAGAAGTTGAATGACTGCGAGTACTATCGAATCAAGGCCTGCATGACTTTACATATTTGCGTGCCACATGTTTCACTGCATTTCAATGCTTCTGAGTCAGGTGCGCTTGGAAAGAGCAGGCCAGGACTCGCAAAGATTTTATCATGTTCTTCCTGTATGCAGAGCCTGCCATCCTCACAACTCGCTTGCACGACAGGCTCCAAGGTTCTGCGGTATTGCCGTGCCGATATTCAAAAGCTTGTCTGCCAGGCACAGGCACTCGACAGCATTCCGCGGTCAGTCTTGGCCAAGTTGCGCAAAGCTGCTTGCTCTGTCGTGCAACAGTTGTGGAGGAGACACAAGAATCTGTCGTGCCGGTGAATGACGTGGAGGAGAAGCCGCCAGCCACAAGAGCGGCAGCGGAAGAGCAGGCGCAAGGGCGCTCAGGGCGATGATATGATGAGAGTCGTTCAGAGACTACACGGTTTTTTTGAGGTTGGCAAGCAGTATCGCCGCCGAAAGCCCTGTCCCTGTGCAGGAAGCCTCACCAGAACCTCTTCAGAAAGACGCCTTGTGGACGGCAACAGCTGCAGCTTTGCATGTGTCAAAGGGTAAGCAGACATCTTTCGGCTTGCACGCCGTCTGGACTCTGAGTATTTCTGGATCCAGTTCATAAGGAATCATCGAAGGCGGAGTCTGAGCCGATGGCACCTTCACCGGTCGTCGAGGTCCAGGTCGCGTGGGGACCGGAGAGAGCCACGGACGACTCATGAACACCCTGTCCTGTTATGACAGTTGTGCGCCATTGTGTGAGGCAGCGGTCGAGGATGTCGAGACAAACCCGGCCACTCAGGAGATCACAGTCGCGACGAAACTACTTAAACTGAGAGCTGGAAAGTCTGCCTCCTAGCTAGCCTTCGAATCTCTTCGAATCCCAGCTACACCACATTCGGTCAGACAGGGATTGGTAAATGCAGCGGTTCCTGAAGCATGACACGAGCGGGATGTTTTGACTATGCTTACATGCAGGAGCCGCCTGAGACGCGGAAGGAGGCCGAGGAGGCAGAGCAGCCCAAGGGCGAGCAGCCCAAGGGCGAGCAGCCCGAGGAAGAGCCCAACGATGAGGAATTCAAGGATGGTTCGAAGATGGAGTCCAAAGAGCAGTCCGAGGCAGGTACGAAAAAGGTGCCTGGCATCATATATAGTGGATTTTTGTTGTCTGGTTCATGTCAACGCGGCCTTTGAAGATAACCTCGTAGTGCCGTCGTCACTGAGGTAAGCGACACATTGCAGGCCCTTCTCATCGGCACGAGTCAGTTCTGAATGCACGTCGCTTGCAACCGCTGCATGGCAGGACATGGAAGGCGAAGGTCGAACTAGTTGAGGGCTGCCGAGCCGTCCATCGAGGAAAAGGGGCAAGATGCTATCATGGAAACTGGATATCGGATAACGCATCTGCATGCCGGCCTTGGTTGCCGGGGCAGCATCCGCCTTTGCATGGCCGTGTCATTTCATGAAAGTTGAAGCTTCGCAGCAAGCTACAGATTGCAACCTCAAGCGGAAGAACTCCTCCAGAAGTTTGGAGCTGCCTGTTCAAGCGTGACAGAAGCTCGAAGCTGAAATGTGATACGCGACATGTAAGTTGGGGTGGGCAGAGAAGGTGGTGTAGGTTCTACTTGCTGACTATGATCGACCCAAGACCAGGAGAATCCTTCTGCCCTCCTGCGTGTGGAAGCAACTCGCAATTCCCGTTGTCCACCCCCTTCCGAAGCAGTTCCGCGCTGTCAAGAGGGGAGTGGGACCTTGTTTCCTTTCCCCTGCCCTTCCCGACGCCAACACCCTTTTGTCGTACCGAATCGTACAGACCTGTGCCATGCTACGCAATGTCTAATAATAGCTTGGCAAGCTTGACATGTTCATGTGCTTTCGTGGCTGGAATGCTCAAGCTGTGTGCAGCATGACCGCGAGGCTCGTACAATGCCACTGCTAGCTGTGGGATTGCCCACAGTTGAACGTCTGTGTGGTCACAAAGGGGAATGCTGATCGTGGGAGTTCGCGAAACTTCGAATGTGCAAACGCAGGCACGGCCTGCTTGTTGCTATCACCATCGCGACTGTATTTATCACCCATCACGGTCGTTCTTTCGGACATACTGGTTTCAAGGGGAGCCGTCGTAGGCCAGACTGCCACGTCGAGTACTCGTATTTCTCTACAGAAACGTATGTGGAAAAATGCTTGAAGTCATGGTTTGGTCGAGACAAGGAGACAAAAGCTAACCGGTATCAGCCGCCGCACTCCAGTGGTGGAACCGTTATGCAGGCGAACAGCTTGCGCCTTTATCCAGCATCACTCGGCGATCTGTTCCAGGGCAGGGAGCAAGAGTTAGCAAAGCTTCATGAGTGGTTGATGTCAGGAGGCCACCTAATAGAAGTGAACGGGCAAGCTGGCATTGGAAAGACGCAATTAGTTAGCGAAGCCTTGCACAGGATACCGGGCAACACTTCAATTTGGTGGGTTGATGCCCAATCAAAGTCTTCAGTGGCATCGGGAATGAAAGACTTGGCTGTCAAGTTTGGCATAGTGCCACCAAACATGCCAAACAAGGAAGCACTCGACAAAGCAACGACATGGCTCAGAGAACATGCAAGATGGATTCTTGTGTTGGACAACTTCGAGGAGGATGCAATATCCTGGAGCTGGATCCAGGACCTTCACAAGAATGGGTCAATTGTTGTCACGACCAGAGCAGCGTTTGCAATTCCTCCATCGAGCAGGCCTCCGAACGAGCCCATCGAACTCACTGGGTTGAACCGCTCAGACTCTGTTAAGCTTCTGAGGAAGCAGTCCCGGCTTCGCATGTGTGACGAGAATGCCTCAAGTCTTGCAAAAAAATTGGGTGATTCGCCTCTCATGCTGGTTACAGCAGCAACTATTTTGCGGCAGTCGAGGGGTAGCACAGGATTCGCAGATTTGGCATCAAACCCAGATCCAGTATTGAGTGCTTCGCAGCTGCCCAGCCTGTGGCAAAAGTACAAAGAAATTCTCAGCGAACGTGCCGTTAAGATCATGGAATGCATGTCTTTGCTTCATCCTTCCGGTGTTTCACAACTGCTGTTGAAGCGGTTTGGGGGGCTGCCGCCGGAATTATGGAGCAGGTCATTGATCCGTGATGTGGTCGGGAATGGGAACGGACCTTTTCAGGTGCACCGCGAGCTTCATCGGACTGTGTATCAGGACATGCAGCAGCACCCTGGATCCCTGGAAGACATTGTTTCTCGTCTCTTGCATGTGCTGACTGATGACTTGCCATCCGGGTGGTTTGACCTTGACTACAACTTCTCAGAAGAGGTCGGCAAACACTTGGAGCACCTGCTCAGTAAAGTTCCTCGTAATGTATCATGGACCCTCAAACGTGAAGTCTGCAGGGCGAAGATCATTTGGGCTCTGTATCAGCTGTACTTTTTGGGAAGCAATGCAGGCAAAGATATACTAAAAGCTGAGAGCAGTCAATGGCCCTCAGACAGCTTTGAAAGAGCAGCATGCTTAAATGCACTTGCAATGGTCTTGAAGAACGGACACGAAAGTACAGGATTGGTGAACGAAACACTGCGCATCCTGGAGGAGCGCAACGACGAAACTGATTGGGACAGCCACGGCTTGCGTGTCAGGGCAGTGGGATGGAGGTATGTATGGAATAGGGGCACTCCAATGTCCCGGGAGGATGTAGACCTGTTGCGGAGATCTGCGGAAGACCCGAGCCGCTCGAGCCGATGCCGGTTTACAGAACAAGCATGGTACTACCACTATGCTAGTGACGGGGACGACGCCTGCGGCAAGTACATTGAACAAGCCATGACCATCGTGAGCGCAGGAAACAATACCACACTTGCCGTGTGGGGAAAGGCTTGTTTACTGAATATTAAGGCCGAGTCGGCCTTGAAAGCTGGGAAGCTGGAGGAGGGTCCTTGCAACTGCTGCAGGTCACCTTCGGCGACGATTACTTTCGTTGCGCGTTCCCCATGGAAATATTCTGTGACTGTGCAATGCGACTGCTGCCTGCAAGGGCACGATCGAGACCAGGGTTGCAATCAAAACATGCCGCCGAATGTCTAGAGTCTGGTTGCGTGAGTCTGGAGAATATCTTGAAGAGGTTTCGTCAAGCTCACGATCTCAACCAAAACCGGCAGCTTTACCAGGCAATGAATAAGCTCAAACAGGCGTGCTGCCTGAGACTTTTGCGTAAGCCGGAGGACGCGTTGGAGTCCTTAGACGACTGCAAGGATCGGCTTTGGAAAGATGAACGAATGCAGGCAAAGCCGCGCTTTCGGGCAGAGTATGCGTTCACACTGCATCTTCTGGGCCGAACTGCAGAGTCTGAAAAGACTTGCCGCAGCATTGACAAAGCTGCGCTGTATGCTCCGGCAGGTCGAGCTAGACAAGTTAGAACAGTGTCTCGGCGGAGGTGGCGGTTCAGGTAAAGACATCTCAGGCTCTGGACGAAATTCTGCAGGCAACATGTCCAACGGCTCCAGTGCCAGCGATGAGGTCGATGATTTGGGCGATCCTTCCGAGACTCCAAGGCGTCTGCTGCGCTTCACGTCGGGAGCTATATGCGTGGGTATCTGGGCCGTTTGGGCAGTCTGGAGATTAAATCACAACCCACCAACCGGATGCCTCGTCACTTCGAAGTCACGGCGGAAGGCATCTGCAAGCTTGCTTATTCTCGCTCTTGCATTGGTCGCTTTGGCGGGCGCTTTTGTTGCACTATTCAGGTTTCTTTTCCGCAGAGGCGTGCATCAACGGACCGTCCATCCACATAATATGCTGCACCACAACACGTTGGTTCAAGTGACACTCTTCCTGCTGGTGCTGGCAAGTATCCTGGTCCTGGTCCGCAAGATCCGTGAGGTGATTCGTACTCGTACTTGCAACCATGGTTCCCGCAACTGTTTGGTCATACAAGCTGGATCACATCAGCTGGATAGCAGCGGAGAGTTTGAAGCTGCGTTGCGAACCTTTGGTGAGCAACGAATCCGCTTTGTATTCCAAGCCACTGGGGAAAGAATATCTGAGGCTTTGGGCTCGTATGATCCAGAATTCCTGTTGATAGTCGGACATGCCGAAGAGGATTGCTTGAAGGTTCACAGCGATGACAATTGCTCCATCACCAACCTGAAGGCGTCTGATCTTTCGACCTGGATCGGCCGTTTGGCACGACGTACACGAAGCCTTCGATGCGTCATGTTCAACACTTGCCATGCTCCAGGACTCATTCGCGCCACCGAAACGGCACTAAGGGATGTGCTTCAAGCTCGGCCATAATCATTGCTTGGGAGCCACGAGCCCGGGCACCGTCGCCAACTTCTAAGATCACTGACCGAGATGCTGTTGCCTTCTTCCGGTTCCTTATGAAGGAGATATCCCGTCGCACTGATGAGGTTGAGATTGATTGGGGAGGCGCCTTTAAATCTGCAAAGGCTGCATTTCCAGATCACATCAAAATAATGAACCATCTCACATGCACACCTCAGCTCTTTCAAAAAGAGGACGACGAAACGTTCCGTCAGATTGCCAATGCATACCGATCAAACTTAGTGCCGGCCACAAAAAGGCAGAGTCCTCGAGACCTAGGCCTAGGGCTCTTCCTGCAGTTTCACGTCTGCCATTCTGTTGAATTTGTGAGTCTCAAGCTTGCTTGATTGTCCTGCGCAGGCACCGCGGATTTCGTTGCGAACGGGTTGGTTCGATCAGCTAGCTGCAAACATGAGCATGGACAATTGTATCGCGACCAACAGGAATGTTACCGGTAAAGACTTTCAGCACAACCACACACAAAGCACTTCGTATATCAAGTCGTGGAACTTTGCGGGCTTTGCTTTCGTAGACTTTGAATGCAGGGCAGGCGTGAGTTCCACACCTTCAGCGGTATGAACATGTACTCGTGTAATTCTCCACGTGAAGTAGAATTCCGCTCATGCCGACGTGCCGTCCATCACGGAAATGGATTGCTGCTCTGACTTTTTTCGTGCCTTGCTCGGCAGGTCAGGGGCAGCAAAATCGGACACAGACGGACTGGCATTGCATGCACATGTTGCCTTGTGCGTTGGATTAAGGGAGCCGCAAGATGGTACAATTTCGGCACTTTTGTCGGGACTTTTCGGCATAGATATGTCGGGCACAGACAGCAGGCAACACGGCAAAAGCGTATGTCAGATGTTCTGTGCGGTTGCTGGCGGACAGAGTGCTGATACATGACTGTTTCTTTCGATTGAGGTTAGTCTACACCAAGCTGACAGCGATGAAAGTGCCATGGTGGGGACCTGAGCTGCACACGTACCAGAGACAAGTCAACAGTGCCACCAGTTCGTTGCTGGGCCACCAATTCGGGCGGAGATGCGTCGGGGAGTTGGAGTGCTTTCTCTTCTTTGCGAGGTGGACACCATTTGGTCCAAAGGTGACAAGCCAGAAGCAAGTCCCGAGAGGCCGACACACTGGCTGCTAGAAGATCATGTCGTTGGGTTTCTCCAGGGAGGCGATGGAAGCTGAACGAAAGCAGCGCTGGGAGAAGGTGCACAAGGAGAAGGACAGAAAGCTGCCGATAAGTCTTGAGAAGCGCCTTGCGACTTTCATGCCTTTGCGCCAGGATCCGGATGGGGATCTTTTCGTTTCTAAGAACTTTCATGCCAAGCGTGCCCCAGCGAATGATAATTCCTCGCCGCACACTGGACGTTTCACAGTCGACTGAGGTCTGGCACGGGTCATCAAGAAGCGCATGCAGTTGAGCGGGCGGGCGGTCATGCGTGTCATCGGAGATCGTTCAACGAACCATGCACTCAAGGTGGCCCGGATGCGTTTCCGACTTGGCATGTTGAAGCTTGACCACATACGATGGTGCAAGCCAGGCAGTTGCTATGGCCAACGAGACGCTTGCCTGAATTTTGCGACTATGCCTCGTCGGAGGAAGGTTGTCCAACCTCCTTGGTGGGAGGAGGGGAGGGCGCTTCGACGGTTTTGGCGTTGCTGTGTCCAAGGATGCTTCAAGGAAGTGACCTGAAAGGCGAACAGGTACGCTCTGGAGCAATGCCTGCAGCTGCAACAAGATTCAGTGAATGGAATTGCAGGTCCTTGGAGCCGTGCCATACTTCAAGCAGGTCAAAATAGATGAGCAGGATTCTGATTTTGTGGAAACTTGCGAAGGTAGTCTAAGGGAGACTGTGTTGCAGCCGGTGGCACTGTCCTGGACACTTGGAGGATGATCTTGCAAATGTCCTGTTCCTCGAGTGCAAGCTTCTTCCACGACCCAGGCCTTCCTGACCAGGCCTCGATTCGTTGGAAATTGATTGATGGTTCCAGGTTGGAGGATGTGACCGTAGAGGAGAAGCAGATCTTGGCCACAGGCTCGTTCCTGTGATGTCATGCTTGCAAGGATTTGGTTAAATACATGTCGATCGGGGAATCAGGTGACTCACCGCGCAAGGCGAAGCACACAGTTCTCAAATTTCTCATCGGGCCTGCCAGGCACCAAGGAGAAGATGCCCAAGATGGCTGCAGCTTTGAAGAACCGCCTCAGGAGAGATTTTCGAAAGCGCGAAGTTGTACTGCGGAACACTTTACTAAAAAATCTGGAGTGTGAAGAAGGTCGGGTGTAGCAATCAGCAATGGTTCGGGGTGTGCCTGCTTGCGTTCACGGCCCGGTATTGGATGGGTTCGACCACCGTGACTAATGCTTAGACCAGTTGAGATCTTGTTGTGTAGGTACGTTCTGTGCAGAGCAGCACTGACTCACCTTGAGGCAGCCATCAAAGATATGGACGGTCTCGGTAAGCAAGCAAGACCTGCTCTAGCCATGCTGTAGCTGTGACAAGCCCGCGAGTCGGTCGGAATCCTTGAGCCTAGGACGGCATTGCCAAATGAAACTATAGAGTAACTAACAGATATGGAAGAATATGGAGGACACGCCTACACATGCTTCTTCAGCCTTCAGAGAGCATTTCCGAGTGTCTGCCTCGCCTCTTCCAGGGAAAACGCAGCTGCCGTCGTTCTTGGCATGGGACCTCGGCAACTACATTTGGCTGTTAAGGCCTCGCCTTTACATCAGCATGCTTAAAGGTACCGGTTGAATTTTGCATGGCACAGCTCCGGAGCTTTGGAAGACATTGCGAATGGCCGAACGCGAAAGTCGTCAGTTCAGGCTTGAAGTCTGGTGTGGACACGCGTTTGTTCTCCAGTTTGTGGGAGGCCATCTTGCAGGCTGGGCGCTTCCTGCGTGAGGACGAGGTGCCTTGGGTAGCAACACGTGATTTCTCACGCGAGAGGGACTTGCGAGCTCCAACCTTGGCGTCAGGGCGAGCAGGGCGATGGACTGAAGGCCTCGGTGGAGTTTTCGAGGGAGGCATGGAGCCGTCAGGGGAGCGGCGTGCAGGTTCCTGCCATCGCCGTGATGCCAGCCATGCAGGAGTTCGCTCCCAGGCCGCTGAACGGTCACAGCAGTCGCAGTCGCGAAGAAGCGCTCTCCACTCTTTGCTGGAACGTCCCAGCCGCAGGTTAGTGAAGTCGCGAAAGTTCATGAAGAAGGGCGAGGATGATCCAGTTTCGATTGGTATGAGGCTCATGTTGTGAGTGTTCTAAGTCGGCTTGCAGCTTGCAGCGGTGCAAACCCCGGTTCCCCTCGCAGAAGCATCATGAGCGCGGCACAGCTGATTGCATCTGGCGTCAGGCTCGAGTGCATTGACATCAGAAATCGATGGGCGCCAGCTGCCAGTGAGGGCGACGAAGATGCTGGCAGCAAACCTGCCATGGTCGCCGCACCATGGGAAGCCCAAGAGTGAAAAAGGAAGCAGCGCGCTTTGTGAACTCACGGAACCGAGCTGGGGAAAGACTCGGGAAGCAGAACTGTAGATTTCTTAGTTCTGCTGCTGCCCATGAAGCCGAAATTCACGTGAAAGTTAGTGTCCTTGCTCCGTTCTCTCGCAGCACGAGCTGTTCAACCTGCCTCCATTGAAGTCTGGCCTTGCCATTGCACCTAACAGGTCACCATGGCTCGCCTCCTGCAGATCTCGCTGCTCTTCGGTCTGGTGCATTTTGGTCTCGCAACGAACATTCGAGGAAGCCACCAGGAGCCCACTGACGAATCAGACGGCACCTTGCCAGACAGCCTCCTTGCGGGCAATGCAGTCGTAGGCATGGATCAGGACATGCACACAAAGATGCTGGTGCAAGTGAAGGCCATGGATGCCATTGTCGATGCTTGTGAGGATGTCGTTTGTGGAGAGCTGAAATGCCCCTCTGGGTTCACTGCAACGAAGTACGACGGCCACTGCTGCGCGTACTGTGTCAATCCCGACATCAAGATTGAGCCCAAGATTGTCGGCGCCACGGGCAAGTTCGGTGCAGAAGAAAGCGATGTTTGCCCTTATGTCTGGTGCTTCCCAACGATGTGTGAGAAGGAGGAGATCATGCCGACGGATGAGAACGGCCAATGCTGCCCCGTATGCCCGAAGTAGGTCGAATCACGCCGGCTGCGTGCTCCAGAGAAATACTCAGCCCTGCATACATGCCTTTCGTCTGTTCATCTGTCTGAGTGGCACAGGCCAGAGTACTTGGATGTGAGACATGCTTGCCTTGATGTCACCTCGAGTAGCGCTGGGTTAGCTGGCGGGGCAGCCATCGCGGCGATGGCCGTGGCATCCAGCTCAGACGCTCATGCCCCAATCTGCTTCACAAACCCTAAGCCCTAGCTAAGCAGAATCGTGTGACTTGTGAGTTCACACAAAGATTGGCATCTTGCGAGGTTCTTCACAATGTGGCGAGACAATGGACCTTTGCCCGAGAAGATACTGAACCACTTCTGCCAGGGCAAATCCTGCAACCTCCGCTCCCAGAAGGTCCCCGAGTGCCCCTGCCATCTCCTGAGCTTGAAACCTTGCGATGCCACTGCGAAGAAGCAGCACGACATGGGCATTTCTCACTTTTTGCGTTGAGGGCCATGATTCAGCAGCCACAGAACGTGCACCTGCCTCGGATTTCCAGATTGCAGGCTTCCGCTCTGAGTGTCTTGACAGCCTTGTGTACACTTGGTGATACGTTGTGATGTCGCGGCTATTTCAGCTTCGAGCAATGCGTGTTGTGGTAACTGCAGAACACACAGCCTCGGCTGCCCCATGCGAACACTGCACGGACAGGACCCGGATAACTCCTGGAACACAACCTCTCAGTCGCGTAGAGTTGGCTGAAGAGTCCAGCATTTTACTTCAGGTCGTGCATGCGTGTTCAGACCTTTGCAGCAATGGCACGTCGCAGAGTTCAGTCATTGTTGATCCTTTCTGGCTTGGTCATTGCTGTGCAGGGATCCCAGAGGGTCTTGGATTAAAAGCTTACTTAGTGATCACACCGGATTTCATCTGCATATCCCAGGCTGTGCAGGCTGCAGAGATCGCTTGCGGCCGTATCGGCGGTGCCGAGCCCTTCGTGGCCCGTCAGGTGCCGTTTCATGGATTTGTCTTGGGGCTATGAAGCTTTGGGCTCCAGCTGAGCTCAGCATGCTGTAGCGAGTGAGACGGAAAGAAGAAGGAGAAGATGGTTTTTCAATGCGGCAGCTTCCGCTGGAGTTGCGGAAAACCTGCCTGCCTATGCACAAGGTGGGGAGCGGACTGAGCCTCAGTAGATTTCAATCGGAATCCTTGAGGCATTGACCTGGGCTTCTTGGATCCGCAAGCTCCCAAAGATGTCGCTGTGGCGCCCAGCGATGCGGAAGTCACCTCGAGCGCCTAAGCGGCCTTGTGCTTTCCTCTTTCGGATGGCGTCAGCGCTTTCCTAACATTCCAGAAGAGATCTGAACAATTTCGTGGTTGCAAGGTGGCCTGAAGTCCAAGCTCCTGCTGCGGCCGACCTGTGCGCTCTCAAAGTCGATTCCTCTCACGCCGCCTGGCCCAAGCCAAGCTATCTGCCGTGGAATCTATGCTTGCGCTCCGTGCGTGATGCTTCGTCAGCATTGTTGAGCTGGGATTTCAATCTAAGGAACCCCTCCTGTGAGCGTCCGCAGCCGTGGGACAAGGCCGAATGAACTGTTTAGAAGTTGATTCTGCGATGTATTGCGATAAGAGATGCCTCGGGAACCCGGTTCTGTCCGGCACCTTGTTGGCAGGTTTTGATCGACTACACGGGATGGACGCCGGCTGGCAAGATGCTCCCTGGTTGCGCGAAAGCTAAGCCAGATTTCGTGGACTTTGCAGCGCTGAGGATCGACAGCAGCAGGAACGAGAAACGCTTGGTTCGCGTGAACTCCGTCATGCCGGGATGGACCGAAGGAGCGATGGCCTTGCTTTTGAAGGCGAGAAAAAGTGAAAATCTAAGTCTAAGAGTCTAACTAGCTTGGACACTTGAGAGTTGTATAGTTTGGAGGACTCCAAATGATGGCGCCTGGGGAATCTCGCCGATTCTGGATTCCACCTGAACTGGCCTTTGGCAAAACCGAGTCTGTCACTTGGAGAAGAAGACTTGAACTGCCTGACCCCAAAAAGCCAGCTTTGCTAAGCTCGAGATTCACGAAGCTTCTTCTGCATGGGGCGAAATCCACGTCTTTGGCAATGCTGCTCCGGTTTGCAGAGTGCAGAGACTCTGTAAGGCGACCAGTAAACCGACTGGCCCGTTGGTCTTCGATGTTGAGCTGTATTCCATCGAGAGGCCTGGCAAAGTCGATGCTTGGGACGTCTAATGAGAATGCAGCTAGCGTTCTTGATGCTACTCGCACCATGGCTTATCGAGTGTTGAACTTGCTGCTGTAGGTTTTCTTTCAGGCAGGATGGCACGATCACGCAACACATGCTTTATTTATCCTTTGAGACCCTCTAGTGGAAGTGACAAAGATCAGAACATGGAACCAGTTGAGCCCATAAGATCTGTGCAATCCCTGACCCACAATCACAAGGAGTGGGGATTCATCATGTAACCCAAGCCTACCGCACCCATTCCAATGCCATAAATCAGCGAAGAAGCAAGACGACTTGTGTCTGGTTTGATTGTTCACCGCTGTGACAGAGCCTCCAGACATATGAAGCAGTTGCGAACCGCGTTGGGTTTTGTAGACTTCTGTAGACTGTCGGATCCCATATGCCGATATGCGTCCGTAAATGTGTCTGCACATGCCCGAGCATATCGGCGATGTCAGCTTCACCGCATGATTCCGCATGTCATGTTGTCTTGAAACAGGCAGCCAAAGCCACCAGCAGAGTTCGGAGCCCTGGACATTCTCAGAGGGCGCCAAAGCCGATGGATACTTCTGTGCCAGGCTGACTGCTGCGCCGCAGGATGCAGCCAGTCTCTCAGTGTCGCTCAGTGCTTTCAGGTCTCAAGGCATTTTTCTCATCTTCGTGTGGTAGATGCAACCAGCTTCAGGAACCGGCTCTTGATATTTTGTAAAATGCAGGCTTCCAAAGACTGCAGGTCGCTTTGGTACGGTAAGCCACCAACAGAGGGGCCGAGAATGAAGGGGAGCGTGTGTGCGCTCCAGTGCTGAGCTCTCGCGCGTCGTGCGTCCGAAAGCACCAAGATGCTTTTTTACGTGTAAGGTCTCCACCCCAAGCGGCCTCGCCTACAAGAAGCTGAAGCCAGGCATCCATCCCGGGATTGGGATGGGAGGCGCAAGCTAAACCGCTTTCTGCGTAGTCACCAGGCACCGGAAACAGGAGTCCCGGGCTCGATTCGCTCCTCGGCGTGAAGGGAAGGGCAACCGCAACGGAGAGCCTGGGGGAGCCTGGGCCTGGGCCATCCTGGGCCTTTCGAGGAACGTGACCGCCTTGTACAACGGCTGGTCCTCCAACGGCGACCTGGTGCTTTCGACGTCTTTTGGAGCCCAAGATACCTTCTTCATCAAGGAGGCCTTGGGCCTTGAGCAGCGTGTCACGCCTGGAGCTTCTCACTGCGGAGGTTCCCGTTGAAGGCTTGAAGGAGGCCTTGCAACTCCTGGTCGAAGGCAGGACTCGCCTAGGAGGATTGGCAAGTCTCGTGCGTCTGTGTTGTTTGTCAGGCGAAACACGCCGTTTCTGGATCCCAGGAAAGTTGGCTTTTGGTGAAAGGGCGGAGGAAAGTCGTGGCCTTCCTCCAGGTGCGGATCTTTGAGTCTAGCCGAGCGCGGAAAGTTCCGTGCACATAACTATTTTTGAGTTTGCAGGAGTCCTTGTATTCGATGTACGCCTCCTCAGCATCAACAGCTGAAGCCTTCGATACGGGTCTCACGCGACTATTTCTTTGCTAAGTATCGATTTTCCAGTGCTGCTGGAACCCATCGACGTGCCAGCATGCATGAAGTTGCAAGGTTGCTGGTCACGAGGGCAGTGGCTTATGCAGTGCCAATGTAGCACGATCACAAAAACCCTGATGCTGTGTATATCTGTGAGCAAAGGTTCCGCTTTTGCAACGTCCTGCCCATTGGAGGGTTTAGTTTTCCAGAGAGTTGGCCTTGAGTGAGTGCAAGGACGTCTCGGCAACAAGCTTTGCTTTCCCTCCCTGTGCACGGAAGCTTAGTGGTTAGTGGAACTACCGGATTCCAAGTATCATCGATCTGTCGGTGGAGTCCTACCAAGGGCGAAGAGAGAAGTCATACAAACACAAGCTCCGGAGGCACATTGTCACTCAGCATTCTGCTGCCCCAGCTTTCCGCTGCGGAGGTTGCCCAGAAGGTGCTTTGGGAGAGACCCGCGAAGCCAGCTGGATGGTCGGCTATCTGGGAGGTTCGAAACGATGGCATGTGCGTACTGTCGTTCCGCGTCGTGCTGCGCTGCGTTATGAGGTTCTGCCGCCGCCACCACCACCGCCGCTGGACCAAGATGGGTCCCTTCCCCGGAGGAGCTGCAAGCAACGGACAGATCGCTTCAGATGCGCTGAGGGTGTGGATTTGGGTGCCAGAGGGTGAGGAGATTCCAGTCGGCGCCATCGTCCCCCATGAAGCCTTCCTACCACATGCAGATCTGGCCCATTCCTCAGTCATCGTCAGAGACGAAAGGAACAGGCAGCAGGCCAGCGGCTAGCTGACGCAGCGATGACTTGGTGGCAGCCTAGGAAGATGAGGACTTGGATCTAGACGACATGGAGGCCCAGGGTTCAGCTCAGCCGCCACCTCGATTCCGAAACCTTGGACCTACATGACCCGCAAGTGTCCAAGCCAAGGTTTGGGCTGGATGAGTTGGAGCAGAAACTTGATCAGACAACCAACGCAGGCTCGCCCTGGCCTGGCATTTTCTGAACCGAGCAGCTGAGAGCGTCACGCAGACATACACGCACTTCAGGCTTTTCGGACCCATCAACCTTCCAGGCCAGGACTGGACAGCTTTGACTCGAAGACTTGCAACGAAACAGTGACGCAGACACACAAACAGCAGCCGACAAAGAGTGCAGCACCTTGCATCTAGAGCGAGTAGCCCCGCTGCAAGATACAGTGACAACATAGTTGAGCTGAATCATAATGTGTCTTATGCAATTTACCGAAAAAGGGAGTTGCAGGAAATACAATTGGAAATCACTGCGTAGCCACCAGGGAAGGAACAGCTGAATGGCATGCTTGTGTAGAGGATGGGATTCTGTCGGCTCAAAGGCTCAAAGTACAACCGCAGAGGCCTTCGTTTAATCTCTCAGCCATTTTCACAAGCTGGACCCACCACGGAGATACTCCAACAGCCCGAACCGTCGAACCGGGCGGGTGTGTGTCTGTCTCTGTGTGTGTCTGTGTGTGTCAATGACCGAGGCCTGGCAGCCATTCCCAGCAGAGGCTACAGACCATGACGTCCCATCGACGGCCTGCATGGGACAGGGCTCAATCGGTCTTTCAGTACATGGCAAGAGAATTTGGCCTGGTGTTTTTGCTCAGCTACTTCGTTGTGTGCTTAAGCACACGACGGTGGGCCGCGAGTCACGTATGCATCTCTGAAGAGGCTTGGCATCCGTTCGATTCGCACATGGATGTGCCTCAAGATCATCAGGCCTGGCAGCAAGTGTCGGATGCGTCTTCTTGTGAAGCCTGCCATGGACGGACCCGACGATGGTATGCTTTAGTTACCAAAGATGATGTTGCTTGGGCGAGCCGCGCTAGAGATGAGGTGGCATTCAATCTCCAAAGTGGCGACGTCCAGCAGTTGCCTGGTTCGCAGATATCTTCCGGCGCTATGGTGCAGAGCAGCCAGCAGGCCAGACATGCCGACGAATTGGGAATGCTCTTGTTCTGATCATGGCTCTTCCTCATAAATTTCATAATATAACTTTCATGCAGCACTGAAACCACCAGGCAGCCTCCCAGAAGCTCTGAATTATAATGCCCGTAAAAGCTTGAGAAGCTTGTAGGAAGAGTTGCACATTCATTTGTGGCTTTTAACTCGTGGTTCTAACTTGCAAAGGTATGTGTATATGCCTCCGCGAAAGATCCGAGATGGCGTTGCAAAAGTTGATTTTTTCACGGAGACGGTCATGCTGGAACCACTGATGATGATGATAGTGATGATGATGATGCTGCTGCTGCTGCAAAAAAAAACGCCAAGAAGACCCTAACCGTGAACCACACCACACCACACAGAGAAGGGGGGAAGGGGAGCCACTCCAAGCAGACCCAAACTCCGGACCGCACCGCCGGCACCTTTCACCTGAAAGGGGGGCGGGAGAACCACACCAGGGGCGAGGGGGTACCAACCATTGAGGGGGCGGAGGGGGGCGGGACGGCGCAGCCGGGATCACGTATTATCTTGTTTCGGGTGCCGGGGCCGCTACGTTATCGGGGCATGCCCAAAACTCCAAACCCCCAAACAGAAGATCACTGTGCTGCACAGTGACCGTGTGACAATTGTACGCTTGGGGCGGGTGAGGGGGGGAACTGTTCCTGCCTTGACAATCCGGGCATCCATGCTAACCAAGTGAATTTCGGGGCAGGGAGATCGGGGGCGAAGCGGCATCCAGTGCCATGGCATTAGCAAAGGCTCGCAGTGCGGAGCATCGGTCGGAAAATGTTACTGGTCACATTTCGGCGTCCGCCTCCGCCCTTCTTGTAGAGGAATGCTTACGTGATCTTACGTGCACTCCCGGGTTGGCTGCTGTGCTGTGCTGGGGTCGGTGAAGTGTGAGACATGCAATGCAATCGTGCATCCCGTCGGCTGCAACAAGGTCTGGGCTAAATGCAGAGGGCCATGCAATCAGAGCCTCCCGTTTCAGCGAGCCCAAACCTTCGAAGAATGTGTTCTCGGCTGTGCGTCTGCTGTGCCCACAATCTTAGGCCCAGGACCCTTTCTGACCTATGATCTATGTGTTCTGCCAAGACTACTGTGTTGTCGTCAATCAGGCCTGGCAGCCGTTTCCTTCGCACTTGGCTTCTAAATGTGGCAGTCAACAGGCCAGGCAGCAATCGTCATACTGTCATACTGATACTGTAAAACTAAGTGCCATGCGCATACAACGCGTGACACTGCGAACCTCCGCTGAACGCCGTTACGTACAAGTTTGATGGGTCGGCCGGCAGTATTATCTTGCGATAGATGTTGCGAAAGCACCAGACTAGAGTCTCGAGATGAGGTTGACATACAATCTCCAAAGTGGTGAGGTCCCGCAGTTACCTGGTTCGCAGTTGTCTGCCCGTCCAGCGGTGCAGAGCAGCCAGCAGGCCAGACATGTTGATGAATTCGGTATTCTGTCGGACTGTTCGGAGAATTCTAAGCTCGGCGGAGAGTGTGCTTAAGTTGGCAACACTTCGGAAGATGTTGCTTGGGCAAGCCGGGCTAGCAGCGATGAGGTAGGATTTACTCACCAAAGTGTCGAGGTCCCGCAGTTGCCTGCTTCGCAGATCTCTGCGGGCCCTGTGATGCAGAGCAGCCCGCAGGCCAGAAATGCCGGCCAGCTAAGGATGCTAACGATATGATCTATGTGTTCAGCCACAACTTACACGCAGAATGTGGCAGCCAACAGCCCAAGAACCGTTTCGGGGACATATTAGCATGCGCATGCATGTGCATCACTGCAAGCTAGTGACATATCATACATATCAGCAGCATGACCTGTCTCCGAGCTGCAGTTTTTTCGAGTAACAGCTATTATGGTGACCTGACATCAAGCTCGGTGGCTCCGTACAGGTAGCTCCGAGCTCCGCGCAGCAGACTCCGCGAGAGCAGGCGTGCAGTCACAACATGTCACAACCAGATTTAAGTAGAGGAGCCAGGGACGCGTGCCTTCGAGTGTGAGCAGCAAGACTGCTGCATGGTTCAGCAGTGGCACACCAGTCTATGAGAATACTGCCATGACGTGAGAACAAGCTTGCGGTGAGGGGTGGAACCCTTGGGCAACAAATCTTGGCAGGAACCTCAGGCTTAGGCCAGAGACGTGCATGCATAAATACGTACATACATACATGTGACTCTCTCTCTCTCTCTCTCGCTCTCTCCCTCGCCCTCTCTCTCGCTCTCGCTCTCTCTCGCATTCTCTGTCTCTCTCTCTCTCTCTCTGTGGCTCTGTCTGTTTGCATTCATACTATTCTCTCTCTCTCTCTCTCGCTGAATACAGCCCCCCCCATGTACACGCACATATATACATGCTTTTTAACAAAAATACATACATATGTATGTATAGATGCATACAGCCACAGATGTATGTATGTATGTATGTATGTATGTATGTATGTATGTATGTACATATATATATATATATACATATATATAGATATATGTCATACTTACGTACAAACAAACAGATATACATACATATAGAAGCACATGTATACACATTCTATATAGATGTATGTATGTAGGTATGTACCTTTCTCTGTGTATGTACATGTGTATGTATGTGTGTATGTATGTATGTATGTATGTATGTATGTATGTATGCATGTATGTATGTATGTATGTATGTATGTATGTATGTACATATACACAGATATATGTCACACTTACGTACAAACAAACAGATATACATACATATAGAAGCACATGTATACACATTCTATATAGATGTATGTATGTAGATATGTACCTTTTTTCTGTGTATGTACATGTGTATGTATGTGTGTATGTGTGTATGTATGTATGTATGTATGTATGTATGTATGTATATATATATATATGTCTGTGCACTGCCGCAATGGTCAGCCAAGGGGTTAATACATAGAAAGAGCAGGAACAACGATCCAATAGCTTAGTACATGGATAAGTGTGAAAAGGCCTTTTGCACGTCGATTGTATCCGTATCTGTGTTTTTCAGGCGTATGACATACGTGCAGGCACCTGCTTCTTCTAGGTGTCTTGATGTGGCATTAGCAAGAGTCTATTGCGGTGTGGGCCTTCTCTGCGTGAGCCTGAGGCGCGAACGAAGCGGCGCCGGTCTCTAAGAAAGAGACACTGGCTGTGGCACAGCGGCAGATGCAACACCGACCTCTCGAAGGTTCTGGGGCAGCGTTTCAGGGAATGACATGCACAGGCGGCATGCGCTGAAGTGCACTGCACCCTTGCGATCCTGTGTGTTGCTGCATCCTGCGGCAGGCGGATCATCGGCGATATCGGAGCCTTTGATTCTGGCGATTTTAGGCTCCCGCATCTTATTGTGATCGAGTTGTCTGATGTGGCACGTCGAGCACACTGATGCAGGTCCTCACCTGCAATGAACAGTCGGTGCGGCACTCGCAGTCGCATTGACTTCTGCCATGTGCCAACACCCCGAAGGCCAAGCATGCCACCATCCCCAGCGCAGTCTGGGTGTGCTTGGACCTCTGGCTGCGGCGTTCTGCAAGCAAACCACCAGGTCGGAGCAGGTTGCAAAGCGATGTTGGTAGCATGTGGTGACCCGGGTTGACAGGAGATGCAAAGCTTGGAGGGCACAGCATTTTGGCAGCTTCCGTTCAGGCCTCAGAACCTTCGCCACAGTAGCTTGCAGCGATCTTCTGTTGGCTGAAGGCCAACTGCTACGAAGCGCAATCCTGAGCACACCTGGAGCTGTTTGAAACTTTTCGCGCCGTGCTTTGACTCGAGGTCTGGTGCCTTTCCGAGCGGACCCCTCTCTCAGTCCGGGACTAGGTTGCGATTGCGTTGTCCTGGACACCTTCAGTCGGAGGGCAGAGGGCACTTAATTAGTGACTTAGTTTCTCTTCTGAGGCTGCAGTCCCAGAATCAGGCACCGTTGCTGTGAGATGCCGAGATAGGACCCGGTGGCCTATTGACCTATTGGCCTCCAGATTATGGGTTTAGATTCCATGACGACCGAGACATAGGCTTCAGCATGAACGGTGCAGCCTTGGCAGTGAAGGTTCGAAGCACTCACGAGATGCTGGCCGCACCTGCAAGCCAAGGTGGGCACAAGTTCTTTCGAACATGTCCAATGGTTGGCTTGTAGAGGCTCTATCGCAATGGGAAGCAAACCTTCTCTGCCTTCCAACGAATCTGCTGGACGGACATTGCTGAGCCCTGTCTGCTGTTACCATGCTTACATTGTAGAGGAAAGATTTCCAGAACACATGAGATGCGAGGGGCAGACTGCATGAGCCATTGCTTACGTCCAGATATGTCCAGATGTTGCTGCTGTTGGGCTGTATGCTGAGAAATGCCAACATGGCACCGGCACCTGCAAGCCCATGAAGCTAAGGACTTCTACCAGTGAAGGGCTCGAAGTCAGTGCCTTGATCGAGCAACTTCCTGCCCCGTCCACCTCGGAGTTCTTGCAGGTGACATATGCCATCGCCAATCCGCCAGGCCATATGTCCGATCCTCAGGCTGAGGCTCTTGCGGGCTTTTGCAGTGGCTTCGTGCACTCCCCTCACAAGGCCGATTAGCACGCCGAACATGAGTCACCTTCCTGCGTACTGTGCTGGCACCGCCCTGAGCTGACTTCAGCCGTCGTACGAACGAGATACGAAAGAGAAAAAGCGAGCAGTGTCATTGGACATAACTGGACAAACTACATTTGTTGGGGTTTTCTGCCCTCTCTGTGCAGCACAGTAGTGGTTGCCTCGCCAACGATTGCCAGGCTCTGTTGGAAACAGCCAAAGGCCCTGGTCGTGCTTCACAGGGTTTAGTGGGGCATAGTCTCGGGTCTTCCGCGTCACCGCTTCGATTCGCGGGGTGAAGAGCAAAATCTCATTCCATTTTCCAATTGGGGGGATGCGCTGGGAGCATCGTCGTACCTGGTTCAGAACCTCACGCCTCAAGCCCCGGTGGCCTTTCGATGTGATCGGACTGCCTTTTTGCAAGTCACTTCTTCTCTCGTCGCAATCTTGGTTCTGGGGCTGACTGACATGCCGGCTCTCGTTGCAGCGGATCCGGACTTTTCGCGACCGATGTCAAGGTCGACAGAATCGGCTGCCTCAGCGCAAACGGTTGCATTTAACGCAGGTCCACCGGCTGCTTTGCCGCACCCTGGCCGGTGCCATGCACCGCTCCAGGCAATGCATCTGCTAGAGCTGGTGGATACTGCAAGGGATGCTGAAGCTGCTTCAGGTCAGCTCCGAGGCGCAACTCCCGGGGGTGTGCATCTGCCAGGCTCTCGGAGGCTGTCACATCACTTGCGTGGGTCCCGGTTCTTGCGACTGCAAGGCTGGACGTGACTGGCCTTTACCAGGATGGGATCGCTGCTTCATTTGCTTTATTGGGGGAAGGAAAGAATTGCCTCGCTGAGGAGCCCAACCTTTCACAGCGAGTGCCTCAGACCTTCGATCTCATTGTCCTTTCGCAAGAGACAACGAAGCAACAGAACTCGGCCAACCAAGCAAGAGAGCCAGTGACAGTGGTTTTGCAGGCCCGGTTCAGTTCACGGGCGTGATGTGTCCTTCCAGCTAACGTTGCCACGTCGCGCACTTCTCCTTGAGAATTGAATGTGCCAGGCTGGGCCCGATGCGCCCTGACGAGAGCTACCATTCCAGAGCTGCACGGAGCTCAACTCATGCCGGCTTTCAGAAATGAGGGAACCCCGCGCGCAGAATTTGGAATCCTGTAAGCGATGCCGACTCAGCAGCAGATTGCAAAGAAAGCCGAGTAAAGACGGCAAGCAGGTACAAGGCAAACAGTGGGGCAGGTGGTCGACTTTCGCTACAAGGAAATACAGTGTGCGCATAGCAGGAATCCGAAGGTATTAAGGCTTTTTGGCTTGTCATAAGAATCAAAGGTTGCCTCTGTCAGTGACGAGTATCCAACTACATGGGGAATACATCAAATAGTTATATTAACTCTCTCTATATATATATAGTATTTCGCATTAGTCGTCATGAGGTTCGTATTAGTGCCTGTACGTGTATGAGTACGTGAGCGGGTGAGCCGCAGCAGGATTATTTCATAAAAGTGGAAGGCGACATAGCACCTACTTGCCTGCCAACCGACCTTACTAAGTAAAGGCATGCATGGGCATTACATGCAGCATTACATACATCTGAGTTCGAGTATTGACATTTCAGGCTCGAATCGAACACATGAATACACGATTGACAGGCCGTTTGTTGCACAAGTGCATGCAACAAACACCCATTAATCATCAACATCATCAGTTCTAAATCAGACATTGCTGGGTCTGGTGCACAAGTTTTTCATTTCATTTTGGTCGCAAGTTAGGCGCAGACCTGGATGAATGACCCCCGACTCGCGCGGCAGCCGTGTCCTCAGATCGTGCAGAGCCTCGACACTCAGCCTCGACAAAAAACGTTGACAGTTGATTCGTAGTGTCGCAGAGGGAATTGACCGGGCTTTGAATGGGCATGCGTCTGTCGTAACTACCTCAGGGGTAGCCAGTCGCCAGAGCCCCTTGTTGGGTTCCGCATTCTTTCGATTTCAAAGCGCAGCTTACAAGCAAGTCAACGCTTTAATGCCGCAAGCGCCAGGGGCCGCCGTTTGCAGACGGCGGCCTGCAATACCTCACCTAAGCACTGGCTGAGGCCTGTGGCCCAAGTGGCTCAGCGCAATCGTCATGCCACTCCGGTCCTCTTGGCCTTGGACTCAGAACTGGAAACAGACCGTACGGTGACAGCGGTGTTGTCAGCCGAAGACAGAGAGGACCTGACGAGACGGTTAAGATGACATGGCTCCAGTGCAGTGGCCTGATTAAAGACGACTCAGATAGACGGGACAAGTGACGTGGTTAGTTTCAGAGGCAGGTAATGAAGAACAGCCACTAGGCGCAAAGCAGCCTCTTATCCCACGCCATGAAGAGAACCAGCGGTGCGGCATACTTGGCAGAGCGGGACAAAGCTGCGGACCCAAAGGCGGCCTCCAAGCAGCTAAAGCCCAACTGGAAAGGAGTCGGCTTCGGCGACTTCCTGCGCGAGCAGGGTCCCAGGAAACCCCTCTTCGATCCTTTGCTTGAATCTGAGTGTTCCGGCGGTCGCGTCTCGGCAAAAGTGGCTGCAGAAGATGCCGGCCCAAACTCTGGTCTCATCCCCAAGTACTCCTGGTGGCAATTTTGTGATGATGGGCCACCCAACGTGGTGGAGGAGACTTCGGTGGATTTGTCAAAGCTCGCGAAAGTCTCCCTTGTAGCGTTGATAGCACAGGTAGCGAGCAAAGAGACGATCAACGATGCTTCCTCGAATCAGGGTTTCACTACCGCAAAGAGCCAGTCACCCTGGACTGCTAAAGTGACAGCAGGCAAGCAAGACTTGGTTCGGATTCGACGACCTGAGGGCATTCGATCAACCGGAGTATGGCTGGTAGCAACCTTTCAAAAAGATGGGGAGAATTGGAAAGTTCAAGCAGCCGACGAGCTCTATCCTGAGAATCGCTTGGAGGCAGTGGTCCGCCTGAGGTTCAAGGAGTTTATCCATGATCAGGCCGATAAAGAAGAGGAGGAAGATCCTATGGCAGCCACCCGCAGGATGTTGGAAGAAGCCATGAAGTGAATCCGAAGATACTTACGTAGGTCTTCAATCACGTACATAGATAGTCGTGCTCTATGGGTCACAGACCCAGACCGGAAGGCAGTTCCTGTGTTCTATACACGATTTGTTCAAATTGGTGTTGCCAGGAGACTGGCCTCCGACTGAAACATGTCTCCCACGACGCGGGGTTAATGCAAAAGTGTGCGCGGCTTTTGCTGTTGCTCCGGCAGCTTACGAATCAGCCTGCAAGTGATCACGCAGTCCTGTGTTGTTGTGCAAGGACGTTAGCTTGGGGCATCGCGGGTATGCCCCTGACGACTGAGCTGCTCAGTCCCAGTATGGGACATGAGCCAGCCTTGCGAAGTTTCACGACGAGTTGCACTCAGGCTTCAAAGCAGGGCCCGTGTGACATCGTCCGTCGATAATGATGGCGATCAGAACCAGTACCCTGAACACTTTGCCACGGACGACAGGTGGAAGCAACTCATTCTGACAATTCGGCAACTTCATGGTACTGGTGTCCGGAAGGACTTGATCGTGGCACCCAAGCGGGTCGCCACAGGCTGGGGACGCCAATGCTTCGTCCCTTACTGGCAATCTCAATCTCCTCTTCATGAAGGAAATTCGAAATTTATGTCTGGAGTTAGCCAGCACCCAGTTAGCGCTGAGAAAAGGGAGGCCTTGAGCACCAAACGTACTCCTTCAGTAACGTTGATCCCGTCGTTGTGAAACCTACCCGGGGTTACTGTATTTTCATGCTTCTCGACACGATTTGGATGCTCTGTGAGCTGGGCTATACTGGGAGGACGCGTATCTCCACCCCAAAGGCCAGTCACCTGTCCGATCGAAACCTCAGGCGAGTCATGGTTGGCCTTCTGGATGGGAGCTCATGCAAGGCTGGGCCTAATCCCTGCGAGTCGCGGGGAAGGGCTCCGGCCTTTGAAGCCCCAAAAACTTCATCAGGTAGACATACATGATGGGGAGACGTGCTTGTGCGAGTACACATTGACATCACTTTCACATCACCAAATCACGCCAAGTCGTCTGTGGCAGTTGTCATCACGCAGCAAGTCTGTGTAGCATGAGCTTGACCAGTCAAGCATTGTGCGACGCTGAGCAGTTTAACGCAGAAGCTGCAGACAAGATTAGACTGGGTGCAAAAAGCCACGGCATGAACGTCAGATGCACAAGGACATGTAATTCGACATTAAGGTCAGCGGAGACGTTTGATGGTTGGTTAAAGACCTACCATCGTCCGGTATTCCCAAACGGTTGAGCGTTCAAACCAGCATCTTCCGCGCTGCCTGTGGCGAGCATGGCTTTCACATTCCATGTGGCGAACTCTGACAGTTCTTTTGCTGCCTCCTGCTTTTGCAGCAGGCAGGGGGCTTTGGGCGAAGGTGCCCCCTTCTTGCGTGGAATTTTGGGACCAGCTGCGGAGGGCGGAGTTAGACATCGACAAATTGACAATTGAAGATGGAATCTCTGCAAGCAGCGCCCGACACGTGCAGAAGTTTTTGACCACTGTTCCGTTTGATGGTGCAACTTTTTGCGTGGAAGCTGCCATTTCGGCAGCTACCTCGTCAGATGCAGTATTGATGTCTCACGTCGCGGAAAGCATTGCCAAGCTCCCTCATTGTTTCCGTGAGATGACGTTCAAGTCAGAGGCCACGTCTGGGGAAATGGTACCTCTTCCGGCTGTACACATTTGCTTGGTGAGTGCTATGGCCAGGGTTCCAACAAGGTCTCGGTTTAGTTTCGTGCAGGGTGGTAGTGTTGAAGGCAGTGCTTGAGCCCTTGTCAGGCTGAGACCCGGTGTCCCCAAAGATGGTACAAAGTCGCAATTCACGTTTTGAAGGCAGCTTGGACAGCAGCATGAGAACCGCACTCAACTGTCCAAGCAGGGACAGCTAAGCCGGCTAAGCCCATTGACATTGGAAGCAGACGTCGTGTTCATCTCGTTCACGAGGTGAACGGCCTACAGGATGCTGCTGAGTCCATGTGGCGTCGCGCCAAAAGCATCAAGGATAAAGACGGCAAAGCTTTGATTGGCTGGCCAAGTCCATCGCAATCGCCGACCGTTTGGGTTACCCGCTTTTCTGTTCAATTGATAGCTTTTGTTTCGAATCGAACGTGGACTGTGTGACTGCCATAGCAGTCTCGTCGCAGGCAATATAGACTTGCCAAGTATGTTTCCGGAGCGGCCCCTTACATGCTCTGTCGTGTGTGAGTCCCGTATTCAGGTTTCGGGCTTATCAACCCGACCGTATTGGAACTGCTCTTCTTGGGCGTTCATACAGGCATTGGAGGCTCAGTTGCGTGTTGCTTGCTTGTGCTTGTCTGACTCCATGCAACTGATCTTCACCGACAGGCCGCAGCACCCATGATTTTGAAGGAAATTGAGCGCAAAGACTCCGAGTTCTTGACGGCCTATCCGTACTTGCAGCCTCTGGACTCGTCTAAAGGGCGCGTAGGTTGGCGTGGCATCCATTCTTCTGGTTTCAGGCTCTTGCCAATCTGTCACGCATTGAGCCGAGGACTGCAGGGGTTTGGGAAGACTTGTTCCTGTACAGAGGCGCGGCGCATTTTGCACCGTGCAGTCCACGGCTCCGTTTCATAGGCTGTAAGATTCCCTTTCTTAGGTCATCAGTGGAACACCACGCTCTGCGAGTCCATGCCAAGCACTTGTCGCCTTCTGCTTCCGGAGCTTCCGACACGCCCCGGGGTCCCGTACGCCACCGTCACCTGGTCTGGGAGGAAAGGATTGTTCGGAACTTTCTGCAGGGGGATAGAAAAACCGCAGCACAGTGCACCGTCAATGGCAAGAGAATGGAACGAGGTTTACAATGAAGAAGTCGTGATCTTCCGATCCAAGCGTGGAGCTTCGGTGGGTGCGCACTGCGGATCCTCCAATGGTGTGATAAACCTGCACTTGACCTTGAAGGGAGGCATGGACGGTTACAGTAGGAGTGCATTTTGTTTTTGCCGTCTCCGCACTGCCTTTGATCATACTTAGATAGCTCAACTCCGAAGTGGTGCGGTCTGTCTCAGCGAGAGCTCGTACCCATCAGGCCGTGGAACATCCGTCTCCGTAGACGGCTTACAGGTTGACTTGCGCGATGGCGAAGTGATATGTTTTCAAGACAGCTACTTCCATTCTGTGAATCACGGCCTGGATGGGGAGGAGGAGCGCATCTCTCTTGTCATCCGAGTTATGCACCCAGACATGGATCTAAAGTTGCTCGGCTCCCGGACGGACTCCGCGCCTTGGCCTTGGCTTCGGCACTTTTCGTTTGGGACACCCCTCAACCCAAAGCCGATGGGGCCGATGTCAGGTGCCAGATCTCCAAGCCTGGGACAAAAGCGCCAGCCTGCTGAGGGAGGTTGAACGCCTCAGAGCAGAGTATCGAAAGCTTGCAGCCGCTGCAGCCTGGGAGCAAGACTCTTCGACACTCGCCTGCCTTGGTGCACAGTTTTGCTTTAACGCCTGGCCACTCCGGCATCGACACTGTTCAGTAGGGCTTTTCATGTCAACAGCTGTCAAGTACCACTTGATTTGCCTCACTTGAGCTTTGCAGCGAGGTGTTCCGTTTGAGGCATTGCGGCTTTTGCTGGTGACGAAGGCAGAAGCACGGCCCCTTCCTCTACGGAGATGGGCAGTGCTAGGGTGTCTTGTATTTGGGCCTGTGGAGGCTCTGCCAAAGTGCAAAGCTGCTTCTTTTCTGGACGCCACCGTGAGAGATGCCCGAAGTGCTCACAAGTGGCTGGAGGTGTCAGTCACAGGGCACGGCAAGCTACATGACCGGAACAGCAAGACTCTTGAGCATTGAATGGGCAGACAGTCTTCAATGCAAGTCCTGCGCAAAGCGCCTCCTTGGATCAGGCCAGATGCGCTCAATCCTGACATGTTTGCGATGTTTGTGCTGCTACGAAGAATGAGTCCTGCAAGACGGACATGGAGCATCCCGAAGCTGGCAAGTCCCCACGTTGCGAAGCCCATGGATCATGGATCAGCATACAACTAAGACTAGCTAAGACTAGGCTTCGGGCTTCGCCCCGTCTCCAGCGATGTTGGCACGATGGGTCACCCACCGGAGCGATGGCTGACTTGGGAGTGCCGTGTTCAGCGGCCACGCTGGCGAGCATTGCAGTCATTGCAGCCAAGCCGCGACTGGTATGCGACATGTAGTTGAAGATATAATTATTCAAGTCAATCAGATCACGGGAGTCGGGGACTGACTGACATGTGAGGTGGAGAATCCGAGTGACTGGAACAACCTGGAACGAATTCTCAGAGCCTGCGCTGTTTTCAACATCATCGACATTCGTTTGGTCCAAGATACGACCAAGCCCCAGGACCAAAAAATACATTGACATTGCTGCACGATTGTGACGGATGATCTCCGCCCGGTTGTGACCAGTTTTTGACGAACACCTTGCTGGTGATGAAAATGTGAGGATCCCCGATGCCGAAAGTGCTTGAATCTCAACGATCGGCCTGAAATTGGTGGAGCCTGCCGCCTGCTTCCGAGCACGTCGAACTGCCTCGATGAGACTTGGCTCTGTCCAGCTGTGTGCCACTTCAGACCTGACCTGCGCCATCCTGCGCCTGCGCTGCAGAGATCAGGAGTTGGCTGTGCACGGCCACATGTCCGTGGCAACAGCACTAGATGAGTCCAGTGTGTGAGCCCGAGACCTTTGAGCCAGGTCAGAAGTTGCAGGAGAGATTCCGCGGTGCACGCGGAACAGTCATTGAGCTGCAGCCAGGTGAACCTTTATGACTTCGACTTCGGGAAAAGCAACAAGATTGCCTTGTGGTTCGGGCAGGACTCACCACAGTTGCAAATAGTGGCAGCGGGTTGTTCATGGTTGTTCTTCAGGTCTGTCCCATATATCAAGATGCCCTCCTTCAGCGCATGCTTTGCTCCTGTTCCAGGAGAAGCACGGTCTCACAGACGAAGCACTCTGTGCAGCCGCGACGTCGGGGCCCTTTCAATATCTGCACAAAGTGCATGCCAACCGATCTGCTTGGGTCCAGTCTGCTCGACACATCAGTTTTGGTGAGATGTATTGAGGAAGATATTCATTCCAATGTCTGGAATGGTGCCTGGCCTCGTTGTTTTCACACTGGAACGGCGGTTGTTCCTTGCAGATGATTTGTTCGCAACTTTGCAGCTAGCCCGCCCGGAATGCGGAGGTGCAAAGCCTCAATGTGGCAGCATCTTCCTCTATCATCCTCGCAGAAGTATGTGGCTCGGTCTGGTCGGCACCTGTGTCAGCTGCAATCTATTTAGAGGCTTGCTTGGCTTCGAGGTCGCAAGGCAGAGGTTCTTTGACTTCCTGCCAAGCTTGCCGAAGCAGCTCTGGCGGCAAAGCGGGCTTGCTTCAGAGCCGGCAGTGTGTGCCTCGACTCACCAGGTCAAGTAAAATGTCAGCTCATCCTGAGGAGCCAGTGAGTGCCTCGACATATTCGTTATGTGGTAATTAACAGCTATGACGCGGCACACCAGCGACACCGAGGCGGTGAGAATCTGGCATCCGCTGCTTCCAGCGCTCGCATGGACAAGTTTCTTTCCGTCGCCCGCCAGCGACAGCGAGGTTTGATCGTGGTTCTGGAAGATCCGGACAGGCAGGGTGTTTTGCGAGTAGCTTTTCGGAAGCCTGCGCTGCCAGTGTTTAGTGTTGGTTGTGGTAGCAAGGCTGGATGCTGCAGCGATTCTTCGAGGGTGTGATGCTTTTGGAGCCTTTTGGCGTAGACTGAGACAGTGGCACCAAGTGAACAGCGACCGGGAAGTGCCTCAGCGCTGAGGTTTCGGAGGTTCACTTTATTTTCGAGGCGACGAAGGCTTTCGATCCTCTTGCAAACCGGCAGGTGATGAAGTCCGAAGGATCCAATCTCTGGGTCTGCAGTCGGATTTTCGAGTCTGTGATGGACTGCCGCCAACATCTTGACCAACGAGGCTTCACGAGAGTCGGCATTGCGCCGACGCAGGATGATTCGGGAGCGCCTTTCTTTAATGCGCCATCTTTTTGCGAAGAGAAGCTGGCGCTTTGGCTGAGCTGTAACAGCTCCTATGTTAATGCTGAACTTGTAAGCAGTTCTGTACATGTCCCGTCCACTGCCAAAGTCGCAGGGCTGGCCATTTCAAACTTGATGGCAGTAATGCTAGCTGAAGTCACTCGTTGTCGCAAGACCGCATACCCGCAAGGGTACTGGTCGCTTAGTAACCAAGAGCAACGAGCTTATGTCCACTGGTGCCTTGCAGTTCACACCAAGCGCCATGCCACACTGGAGCAGGCCTCGCAAGAAGCCTCAGCCAGTCCAGAGTACGAGCGCTTAGGTCGTTTGAGGGCCGAGCTCAAGCGGCAAGGATGGTAGCAGTTGCCACAGGGTCCACAGGACACCATGACGCATCGTTTTGTAGAAAAAGGCGGATCCACGCCTGGTCGAGCATGCCGGCTGGTCGGGCAAACAATCGGATCTGTCATGTTGCTTCGTTGCTTCCTGTTCTACACCTGCGAGCATTTTGACTCAAGCATCCTTGCGGACAAGTGTCGTCGTTACCATACACTGATGCAGCTCGAGCCGCATGTGAACCGGAAAGACTCATCATTGCTTTGTAACCTACATATTGGGGCCGGGTCGCTGCGCATGTTTAAGAAGCTGGTGGCCGCAGCTGGAGCCTTGGTCAGCCTGTTTCGCTTTGTCAGCGCTGCTTACTATGCTTGCCATGCCGCATGGCATTTGTCGTCTTCCCCCTCATTTATCTTTTTCTTGCTATCCTTTCTCGCACCTCTTCGGTGTAGTGTTCGAATTCCCAGCGAAGTTCTGTCCATGTGCTGCGAGTGGTGGCATGATCGTATCGAAATCGTCTTTGTATTGTGTGTGCATGCATGAGACTCATGCATGTGTTATGCTTGCGATGCCCCTGATTCTCTGCGGATGCCTAGAATCAGCACATGGCTTGGACATGCTTTCAGCAAAGCAGTTGCGTCACAGTCGCCTTTTAACAGCTCAGGCAAGTAGAGTTTGGCCGAGGTAGGGTGCATCGTGCGGCTGAAAGGGCCCTGTTGACTTGACACCCCTGCATCCCACCTGCACTCATCTGTAACGCCTTCATCGAGCGAGTCCAGTGACAAGTCGACAGTCTTCCGTCCCGAGTGGCCGGAGTCAATGACTCCAGGAATTCATGAGCTCTAAGCGGAAGGCAGAAGTTCCGTTGGAGGACGCCGCAGCATCGATCACAGTTTGTGTTCGGTGGGCATTCAGTGGAGACGTTCTGTCCGTGGTCTCTCTTTGGCCAGGGGCTTCAGTTGCTGAGCTTCTGGAATCCCTGCCTGTGGAGCATCATGAGGTGAAGCAGCTGCGAGTGATTTTTCGAGGTCGAAGTTTGGAAGCCACAGAACTTCTAGCTACGTTAGGCATGGACGATCCTGTCAAGGAGGATGCTTGCGTATTTGTTGTGAGGAGGCCGCCGCGACTTGCGATCTTAAGCTCGGGCAAAGACTCCGTCTTCTGGGAGCCCGAAGCGAACCGAAAAGCAAAGTCCTTTTCTGTTCGTGAGGAGGCCCATTGTGTCACGTTTTCCGAGGATGCCTCGCTTCTTCTTGCAGGCTATTCCCAGGGTGTGGCACGGCTCTACAACGAGCATGGGCTTTGCAAGACTTTCAGCGCTCGTTGCGGAAGTGTCCTTGCCGTAGCTTTCTCATCATGTGGCAGTTTCTGTATCACCGGTAGTGAAAATGGAACAGCCAGGGTCTGGAGCACCGAGAGCGGCGTCTGCCTGAGGCCGCTCTGTCGTCACAGTGGCCCTGTCCAAGCAGCCTCGCTCTCTCCCGACCTGAGAACAGCCATCACAGGAGGCTGTGATGAACTTGCCAGGCTCTGGTGTGCCAAGACTGGTGCATGCTTGCACACGCTTCGCGGACACAGCGGCGTCGTCACCTGCGCCTCTTTCGCTGGAGTTGAGCGTGTGGTGACCGCCTCCTTTGACAGCTCAGTGAAAGTGTGGTCTTGTGAAAGTGGCACCTGTGACATGACGCTCTTGGGGCACAATGCTCCAATTCTTTCCATGGCAGTTTGTTTCGGTGCAGACTTTATTGTGACAGGCTGCTTTGATGGCCTTTGCAAAGTTTGGGCGCTGGCCACAGGTTCATGCTCGCTGACCCTTGAGGGGCATGGCGATGCCGTTCGATCCGTGGCGATTTCCCCCAATGGGAAGCATGCACTGTCTGGCGATGCGAGAGGATGTTGTAAATTCTGGTCGTTGCGGTCGGGTAGCTGCAAGCAAACCCATTTTCTACGCGGTGAACGCATCTTGGATGTCGCCCTGCGCTGCCCCGATTGAAAAAAAGGCTGCCTCGGCATGTCATGCTGACCTTTGCTCATGGCGGGGATTGCGCTTCTCTGTCTGTGTGTGTGTGTGTGTGTGCGTACGCGTGTGTGCGTGTCAGGTTCGAGTCCTATCGCCTCTATGCCTTGTCCGTAGTTTTCTACAGGTCGCTTACTCGAAGATCGTTCACTCTGGGAAGCCTTCACCTTTTGCTGCAGGCGGGTGTTCGACAGGCAGTTTCTTTCTGCTTTCATTGTATGTCAGGGTCGAACCCAGTTCCAGCAATGTGAAGGCCCAAGTTGTCCCTAATGTCAATGTCTTCAACGATTGCCTTTCAGTTTCACTTACTCTTGGCAGCGTGGTCCGGGGTGGGGGAGCTCAGAGATGCTCAGAGCTCAGGACAGACTACTACAGGCATGACGGTGTGCGAATTACGTCGGAGCCTCAATGGGTTTCCCAGGCACAGAATCTGACCGGTGACTCCTTCGAAGGCATGATCCCTACGCCCCCGGCATGGCAGAAAAGTACGGCATGCCTGGCAAGACGGACAACGAGGGGTCCCTTCCAAGCAAGTTGCTCGAGTAAACCTCGCAAAAAAAGTCTCAGTACACGCCGTTGTCTCATGACAGGTTCGATCCCTATGCAGACACCGTCGGTCCAGGCAGGCCCTGGATGCGTGCTCGCAGGCATTGCAGATAAAGGAAGCAGGAGTACATCAGAACGATCTTGTCACAAGCACCAAGTATCAGCAGCGTAGGAAGAAAACTAATGAACACCAGAATGAGAAGAACACGACGATCAGCGAGATGATTTGCCAGAAAGATGTTGCTGCATTCCATAGTTCTGATGTGTCAGGCATCTACGGCGGTATCGTCAAGCGGGATGAAGCTGGCAGCGTTGTCATTGGCAGGCATCCTCCCAGTCGCGAGGCACTGGTTGCAGCCTTGCAGCCGCAGAGCTTGGAAGGCAGTACCAGAATCACAACCCGCGGCCTGGTCCAGTCTATGCCGGAGGAGGCTACACACCGATCAATGAGGCAGGGCCAAGGCGGCCAACGTTCAAGGAGTTCACTTGCGCATTTCGCTCTTGCAGGCACTGAGAAAAGGACCTCCTGCGCTGAAACCGCTCGACCTTCAGAGGAGCACTTGCACTGTCACGCTCTCTGCATTCCTTTTGTCAAGGCTGCTTGACAAGTATCCGGATTTGGCAAACGACATCTCCACTGGAGGCGCCTGGTTTGAGTCATCAGTGAATCAAGTCATTGTTCGCATTAACAATACGCTGCTGTACACTCCAACGTCCAGGTGCGACGCCATTGCACATGTGCGGCATGGGCCATTTTCCCAGTTCCACTGTCACGCAATTGCTGATCTCGTACACGCAGATGCACAAAGGATGAGAATTCTGAGTGCAGGCCGGGACAATCAGCATGCCACGGAGTACCTGATCAGGCCTCCCGGACTGTGCGAAGTCTTCTATAGGCTCCGATCATGCTGAGAGCCCTGGCAAGGCGTGGTGCCAAGGCCGGACCTTCCCACGAGTGACAATAAGAGTTTGAGTGATGCGGAATTGGGTTCTTGTTTCCAGATAGAAGCTCTGGACACCTACGGAATGACGCCGCTGCACCGCATGGCCTCCAACAACCTTCCAGTGGGGGCCGGGAGCCCACAGGATCCTGACTTGAGGCTCTGAGGCGGCCTCTGTGAAAGTTCTGCGGGCTCGAAGGCCAAGGCCCTGCTTGAGGCGGGAGCCGATCCAGAGAACACGGGCCAGGCCAGGCGATAGGCCGAAACTCCGCTCTCCGCTCTCCGCTCAGTCGCCGGGCCTCGGCTGAGGTGCGCGCCAGCCCAATGGAGATTGCGCAGGCCAGAGCCCCAGAGCCCCAGATCGACTTAGCCTTCTCCTTTGCAAGTGCATAAGAGTGCATATGCAGGATTCGCGGGCGAAGGAGGCCCACGACCGAGTTTCGTTTGCGGACATTTTCGGTTAGCACTAGCTTAGCTCCGGCTTGCGCTTGCAGCTGATTCAGATGAGGTCATGTCGGTCTTGGCAGAGTGCTCCGGCAGATCAGCTGTTCCAGAATTGTAATTAAAGCGCTTCGGCCCATGAGTGACGTTAAGTTTTTTGAAGACTGAGGACCACTCGTCGTCGAGTCGAGTTTTCACTACCGTGCTGCGCTTGATGGCTTTTATTTGAGGTATCTTCGCAAACCACGTCCCGTCCTGTCACAGCTTCGCCGGAGCCTTAGCAATGCACATCCTGGCAGCACCGGCACCTTCTGGCGAGTGTGGGCAAGATTCCCGCAGAGGTGTGTCGAGCTCTGGCTCACAAAGTGTGAACGTTGTTTACACGCAGAGGGATGCCAAGGCTACCCTCCTGTTCTGCAAAGCGTTTTTCTGATAGGGTGGAGACCATGAGTTGCATCGACCTGCCCAGTTCAAGACCGAATGGGCTCGTCCAGTCTGTGGCATCTAAACATTGAGCTCGTGCACTTGCCATTCTGTCAGTGTGATCTCACGCACTGCTGTCGGCGCAGCGATGTTTTTCTGGTAGGTCGGGCTCCAGCTGGTTTTCCAACCAGGTATCTGAATGCGCTTCAAGCACGCAACCTTTGCTCCGTGAAGAAATCATTGATCGTTCACCGTCTGTTGCCAACGTGTGGAACGTCAGTTTCTGCGTCATACTGCGAAATGTGTTCAAAGTGAGAGGACGTTGCTGGAAGAACGTCGTAATTTAGGATCCTGCGAGTTTCAAACAAAGAGCCTGCAAAGACAGTCGGGGGACATCGCGAGAACCGGAGAGCGAGCAATATTTTGCATGAATGAAGACTCGAAACAGGTTGAGGCATGCTCTGACAATGAGTCTGATTCTGCTTGAAAATTATGCGTGGGCCGGTGTAGACCAGCAGGTGCTTCGTTGGGTGTGTGAGCTGGGGTTGTCAGGGTTATTCGCAACGGTTCTGTCCGCTGGAGGTTATCCCAGTGGGGTTCAGCTTGACATGCGCCGAGCAGCGCTGGGATGCTGAGAAGATGCCCTGATCCTGGCAAAGGTGAGGATGAAGTGCATCAGCATGAAACAAGAAGTTGCAGATTTCATGCAATCTTTCGTAAGGTGGCTCCAGCTGAGTGATCAAAAGACTCCCTGGTACGAGGCCGACAATGGAGATGGCCTCAGAATGCATCAGACAGCCCTAGCAGAGGAACGGAACCTCGTTCGAGAACTGTCCTGAGGTGCATATATCTATTGGAACCGTGGTGATGGCCAATGGTGTCTTGCATGTGTTTGCAGTCCATTGCATCTCGCGCTTGTGCTTTCAGCTGCAGAGTTCTGCGCAGTTTCTGCCGTCAAGTGCATGTTTGAGTGCACTAAAGACGATTGCCAAGTGATCTCTCCCAAACTCGTCCTGGACAGGTGGATTGATGCTCCCGATGGCAAGGGTGTGTATATAGCAAAGGCGGGAGCCGGTGGACCTTTTACTCGTTGTTTTGTCGGCTGTGGTGCAAGAGAACCCTTGTCGCATTAACAACCCGCAGAATCGTACACGCCTGTGTAACCTCCTTTTTATCGTATTCTGATTCCTCTTGCATCGCGCCGGGGACTGTTGTCTTATCTTCTTCATTCTTCTCCTTGCAATATTGTCATGCCAGTTAGCAGCTTGCACTCATGACTCATGCACGTAATGGCACTGCAGGCCTCTGCTGAGAAAGTTCCCTCGGACGGTTGGAGAGCTCTGCCCGGGGTGGCAGGACCGCTTCCATCCGTTTGGAACTTGGACTCTGCTGTTCCCTTCCATCACGAGTGCTGCAGATGTGCCCTTCAGAAGGTCGACTTTCTTGCGGGACCATCGAATGAACTCTAGCCGTCGCCTGACTATCCCCTAGGAGAACGTAAGCAACGCTGCCTGCCATCTTGACTTTGCGTCTGCATGGACTGAATCCAAGGCACTCAGAGGATTGACCGTGGCTCCGCTGTACAGTGCCACAGCTCTTTGATCGGAGAGCAAACTTCGTGTGCAGCCAAGACAATTTTCATAAGATTTCATAAGTACGATCTACCTGTACAGTATCTTTCAGCTTGAGAGCTGCGCAGCAGGCCGAGCGGCCCTGTGATTTTCGAGGTGCTTTTACCACCTCCTGCCTTGCATGAGACGAAAGAAGCATGTGGGCCCCTGGGCCCTTCCACTCATAGGTCGCGTCAGTTTAAAGCAGTTGGTTGACATTACAGCCTCACAGACATGCGCAGGAAGATAGAACTCAGGAGAAACGCTCTCCTTATTTCTGCAGTTCCCTCTTCTTCCAGCACAAGCGTTTTCTTGAAGAGCGAGGGTTGCTGCAGCGGCATGTGCATGTGTGCTGGGCTCGATTTAAACTTGAGGCGAGAAACATGCGGCGGGCAGTCGCCATAATTCGTGCCACTTCGGGATTTCACGTTTATTCTGTGCAGGCCGTTGTGAGCTTTGTTAAGTAAGGACATGAGAACCACGACGAGGTTTGAACACAGCAAGGAAGTCTTGCGGTGCAGGCACCTGGAGAAGACCATGCTGCAGGTTCTGCTGAGCCAAGTGCTTGGGCCTCAGAGTCCGGATTCCAGCAGCTTGGAGCGTCTTGGAGCCCTGGTGAGGCCAGTGCGTGGTGAAATGGACAGGGCTGCCCTGGCTGTACATAGCACAATGCTCGAGTTCCGGCCCCGGATCTTTGGCACAAGTGGCCTTGCTTTTGTCTGGGGCTCTGCGCTTCAGGCACGGCTTCGTGTGCGTCGGAACCTCCGAGCCGAGCAGCTCCGCGCAACCCGTGCCTGACTCATATTCGGAGTTCTGATGTGTGTGTGTGTGTTGGACCTGCACATGGACATCGTCCAAGTGGTGAACAAATCTGACAGCAAGCAACGCATAATCATAGTGCAACAGCGCTTGCATGTAGCATGAAAGAGCGGACCATCCTTGTCAATTTGGACAGAAACTTTAGAATGCCTGTAAACTGTATGTACAATGTTTTTGTTGGCACTTCGGGCATGTCCATGATGAAAATCCTCGCATTCCCCAGATTTCTCGAGGCAATTTCTCGAACACCAGGTGAACAGGTTTAACAGTCCAGCTGAAAGCTTGCCGCGACCAAGCGCTATAAGCATTCAGCAAGTACCGAAGCATCTTCCAAATTCATGAGCCACGTGGGTAGGTTGCGCCAAGGTGCGCCGTTTGCCCATGCGAAGGTCCCAGCTGTTAAAGGACATTGAAAGCTGTGATCTAGCGCAGCTTCAAAAGACGAAGCCTCACAGTGCAATGCGGCCCCCAACCCTGCCTCGGTGTTCTGAGACCTCTCACAGCTCGCTTAACGGAAAGTAAAATACTTCCACTCTTGGTGCCGACGATTAGCTAGGGCAGCTAGGGCATCCTTCGATCCTGAGGTCATCACGGCATCTGCCGATGGCCTCTGTCTCAGAGCCCTTGGCGGACGAACTTTCACAGGGTACTGGTATGCAGTATTTTTCATACAGGCCCTTCGCTTTCCGCCGCAGCGAGGCAGCGCAAGCCTACAAGTCTTACCACCTGGCTGGAACAGCTTTGAAGACAGCTATGCGTGCCAGCCTAAAGACAGGATACCTTCAGATGTACGTTGGGTGGTGACATGTGCTGTTTCCGTTGCACCAAGTATTTGCGTTTCCTGCCTTTCGCCGTCGCTGTCATTTGCCAAGACTGGCAACATGCAGATCATGCAGGCAGTACTTTCTTTACTACGTTCATGCATCCTTGCTAGCTCAGACCTAGTGCAGCCGAGCATTTCAAGATCAAGTCGGAAGCATAAGCAAGAGTTCCAGAAAGGCTGAGCATCGTAATTACTGTATAGATAATAATGACGGGTGATGCAGTTCATTGGAGCCCAGCCTTAACACGTAATCCCTTCCTGGCAATGACGACATTTGTAGACGAAGCGCTTCGCGGTCCGCGTGTTGCAGAAGTAGCCGCGGCACTGGGCGATTCTTCGTGCGAAGTTCGGGCCGATGCGCTCCAGCATCTGTTAGGCTTAGAAGGGCCTGAGCTCGCACCGTATGCAGAGGCAGTGTTGCCTCTGGTCGCAGACCCTGCCTCCGATGTGAGGCGGCGAGCGTGCGAGATCATACAGAAACTGGAGGTCCCAGTTTTGCAGAATCTGAAGGATGCCCCAGTGGATTCTCGGATGTCGTTTCTCCGTAATGGCAAAGCTTGGAAGTGCCTCTGTGCATCTGGATCGATGCCCGTACCGCCACAAGCGCCTGCCCATCCGGCAGCTTTCATGCAAGATCCTCGAAAACGATACGAGGGCGAAGACTCTTGGCCTCCGCCGGCGTGTGGCTTCGACACGCCCGATACACTCAGACATCGCCAGATGCTGGTACGAGAGGATGGCAGGTTACAAGGTGTACACCTTGAACCGGTTGACTGGCAGGGAACCTTCATGCATGCTCCACACCTGTGGGAGATTGCCAAGAACGAGGCGAAAGAGAGCCATTGGTATCACTGGAAAGTGAGGGACGCCCTTGCCTTTACAACACGTGAATTTCAGGGAACGGCTCTGGTTCGGCTTCTCACGGACTCGGAGGTGGCTGTGCGCGCGGATGCTCTGGTTGCGCTCAGACGGCTTCCGTCCGAGCTCTGGGCACACCACACACGTCGCGTGCTTCAGAGCTTGACAGATCCGATAGCGGAGGTCCGGCTGGCCGCACTCTGTGCCCTCCAAAGGTTGGGCTCTGCCGAGCTGGCGTTTCAGGCGCGTGCTGCATCGTTGCATGTTGTTGCATGTCTCGTGAGTTGTATATAGAGTGAGGCATTTTCAGAGGCACACTGTGACTGCCGCAGTTGAAGCCACAGATCTCCACAGGCTCCACACTTGGTGCCAAGTTTACGTGATGAAGACGCAGAAGTCCGAGCCGCTGCTCTGTTGACCTTGCGGTATCTGAAGCCAGACCAGCTGGAACGCTGGGCGGAGCAGGCCAACCACGAGTGTCCGTTTCCAAATCCAGATGACCTTTCATGTCACTTGTCAGGTGCTACGCTGCAAACTGGATCCCAGTGTCGAGGCAGGGCAGGGGGCGTGGAGCCTTTCCTAAACCCATTTCTCAATGGCTCTTCGTGCCTTTGTGCCCCTTTCTGGAACTCAGGTGCGCGAGGCGGCTCAACGAGCAGTGGAGAGGCGATGAAAAAACGGAAGTGTGCTTGCACAGGGTCGCGTCATTGGGCCAGGCTCTCGCCAAGCACCATGGCAGACTTGGCCTGTGCCGGCCTGCCGAAGGACGGCATCTTCAGGTACTGAGCCGCCTGAAGGCGACTTAGTTGGGAAAGCACGGGCATGTGAACGCACTGGGAACCAGCTGCGCTCCTGCCGTGAATCCCTGCATTTCGCATCCAGCCTAAGGCTGAGTTGCCCAGCTTTGGATTCCAACACCCGAAGACCGAAGCGGCTTTTCTCGTTTGCAGGGCCCTTCTGGGAGACCTCAAGGTCTGACCGGATGTGCTCCACTCTGCTCCGCTGCGCGATCAGCTCTTGCTGGGTCAGAACTATGCCCCATTATGCCACTCAGCCAGAGCCAGTGCTTCCCGAGAGCGGCCTTCACGTCCCACAGGTTCTTCTACATGCATCCGTTTCGACAGAACGAAGACTCCTTCACGGCCGGAAACTACACGAGAGCTCCCTAAAACACACCGGCACACTCCTGGCCCTGAGGTGAAGGCCGTGGGGATCGGCAGCAGCCTTGCCGCAACTTGGCGCAAAGATGCGAAGAGATGCTCAGACTCAGACTCAAGCATTGCTTCCTCTTGCTAACTTTTTGCAGGTGCATGCGGCATCCTCGGCGCCAAACGCCGATTTGCTGGAAACGAAGCTTAGCGTGAGCCAGGAAAGCTGGCGTTTTGAGATGGCAGTTGCGAGAGCCTGCAAGATATCGATAGCAAAACCACCACAACCCTAGCCTGCCAGGATGCCGTCGACAATGATCCGGTCTCTGTCGCTGCTCGGGCAAAGGCATGCGGCTGCATTCTGGTGACAGCTTCAAAAGCGCATGCTTATCACGGCCGTTGGCTGTTGGGAGGCCTGGCAAGAGAAAGTGGCAGTCGGCGTGGCGCAGAGGCCGCGAAGTTGCCTGAGCGTGATCTTGCAAGGGGTAGCGACCGGTGAGGCTGCTCAGCAGACACAACTCGACAGCCCGGCTGGGGACAGCATTGGAGGCCTGCTGCAGGGCATGGAAAAGGATTGTGGGTTTGTAGTTCGGTCAACTTCCAGTTACTGTAGTTACTCGTAACATCTCACAAGACCTGACAGGCAGCGCCCTCCGAGAAGGCCACGGCCTCAAAGCGCACTAGTAAGCTCATGCAGTCGAAGGCTTCTGGGCTCGAAAGGTGGCTCTGGGCTCACACTCTGCTAGAGCATGCGCTTGGAGACTTCAAGTTGGAAGCTTCATTGATTCTCTTTTGTGCAAAAAATGCCCCTGGCATCCGCTCACTGCGCTCGAAGGCCGGCACCAAGCGCCCGGCTCCCGAGGAGAGCGGAGTGCCCAGTCCCCGCCCAGCCCATATCCGAGAGCAGCCTCTAAGTTTTGTTCGCCTTCCATGCGCCCCATTGCTGAAAAAGGAGCCTCGGCGGGAGTCCCCTCGGCACGAGCTTTGGACTTAGCCTTGCGAGCTCCAGTCAGTGCGCTGGCAGCAATATCTACAGCAGTGTATACCACCGGCACCCGCAGGGACTGAAGGCACGGCCGGATTCACTCGCAGTTTTGGCCCGAGATTACGCCGCCTGCCTTGCCAATGCGTCCACGAGAGACCGGCAATAACGCATGGAGAGCAGAACTTGCCGCTCTCTTGGAAGCATGACGGATTTGCGTGTCTGAGTGTTGTGGCGCATTGCGCTGCTCCCGAGGTGAGTTCAGGTCCCCGGGCCCCAGAAGGCAGCTTGCGCAGAGTTGCGTCCAGAATGCCACCAGCGTCGCCAGCATAGAACTTGGGAGCTTTGCCGTCGGTCAGAACGGATGCGCCAACCTTGGAAGTGAGCTGCAGCTCAACCTGTGTGTTACGCCGGCTCCCATCTTAGGCAATCTCCGCAGCTGATGCAGCTTCTGTTGCTCCTGGTGCTCGTGGGACTATCTTGGGCACAAGACATTCAGATGTGAGCCTCATCTGACAGGTTGAGAGCTGGTCGATTCCATGCAATTGCTTCATGAATCTTCATGATGCAGCAGATCGCCAGATCCATGCCCGACCCTCTCGCGAGGTGAAAATATTCGAGATGATTTGGGTGCAGCATCCTGTGCCCAAGTGCTGGAAGGCAATGCAAAAGGCTTCCGGCTCACTGGAACCATGAACGATCCGCTGAGGCGCGCAGGCTCAAGTTAGGAAGCCTCATCGTCTTGTCGCTCTCGTAATCTCTCGTCATTGCAGCTTGCTGTCTGAGTGAGGATGTTGTCACTGCGTCAACACTGCTGTGCAGCCGTTTCCGAGTTTTTACGACGCTGCGTTGCACAGTCGTGCGCAGAGTCTTGAGGAATGCCAAATCCTGTTTTGCTGTACACTGTAGCCCCTAGCTGGATCTTAATAGCATACCGGCTGCTCTTGGACTTCGCAGCAGATGATTCGACGTGCCGAAATTGCCGACGTTGTTTAGTCCGTCTGCGTCGTTGCACTGTCGTACTGTCAGGTTTGCCGGCCTGGGTTTCGATGACAACATTGCAGGCGGTGAAACGCCTGGAGCTCTAAATGTATGCATGTTGGCAGCATTTGGCGATGGTGGTGTCATCCCGGCCGCGTGCGTGCCAACAGTCGGAACAACTGCTGACCAATGGGATGGAGTGCCGGAGATGCACTACTTTGGTATGATAGGCTTTGATTGCAGCTTCAACCACGTCGCCTACGCGGTGGGTGAAACCATTGACTGGGATTACCCTACAGGGAATACTTGTGTCGGTGATGGGGACCTGGACGTGGGACTGACGTCTATCAAATGTATGTTCGAGTCAGCGTGCGAGCTGGGGACTACAACGACTACGATGGCAGTTGTCACATCCACGACCTTAACAACCACTCAGACTCAGTCTACGACCTTGACAGCCACTCAATCTTCTACATTGACTACCACTCAGTCTACAGTTTCAACAAGCATGACAAGTTCGAGTGCAACGAACACAGTGACAACGACTGCGGTGACAACCACTCGAAGTTCCACCATCACAGCGACCTACACAGCATCCACCCGCACTACTACAACTACAGGTACCGGCACCTATACAACTGCAACCACCACATACACAACTGCAACAGTTACCAGAAGCACCAGGTCCATCACTTCCACATCGTCACTTGTTTCCACGAGCAAAACTACGACGAGTGCGACAGCTTCTCTCACTCAGACTCGAACAACCGTATCAACCACTCATACCAGCGTTACAATGTCCTTGACGCGAACCTCTGCCACCACCTCCATCAGCACCACCACACTGACTACGCAGACTGCTTCCATCACCTCTACGGCTACAAGTGCAACCGTTACCGAAACAATCACCACCACAGCTACTGGCACTGCCACAAGCAGCGTCACCACTGAAACCTTGACGGCTACGGCTGTGACCTCCACCGGCACTGACACCAGCACCACCACGAGTACTGGTAGTCCCGCTATCAACATCACGGGACGTTTCTGCCCGGAATCACCCATGCTGCTTGGATCCAAATCAGGACAGACGACAAGCTGTCTCTTTGCAAATGTGCAATTTTCATCCATTTTCCAAGGATTGCAAACAGCGCCAGTTTGGCTCATTGCGCTGGAACGCCTCACAATGGCGTTTGCGATGTGGAGTGCTCTGATGGATTCACCAGACCCGGACTTGCAGATCCATGGTTGCAAGAAGTTGCAAAGGTAGCCGCTCGCGCTTTGCAAGTTTTACAGTGTTTTACTGTATCTGCGTTTCTTGACTTTGTGTACTTCGAACCCGCCTTGTTTGGATCTGAGCGTGGGCCCGAAGGATTCCCGAGGGATAAACCCGAACGGAGTGGAAACAGGTGCGCGCGCGTTCTATGTCGTCATAGGCAGCTACTCCCAACCCTCAAGCAAGGATGTCGTCCTTGCACTTTGTCATGAGGGACGCTGGCGAATCCGAGGCCGGGTAATGTGTGTGTATGCGTGTTGCCTAGTATGATAACGAGAGTGATTGTATTCGTATCAGAAGATGATAGGGAAATTTAGCGGTCGGCGATGGTCGGCGAAGCAGATTCAGTAGTAAGCATCTCCGAGGCGAATGCCTACCAGAGGGTACGAATGTCACGCAATCGGGTGCGGCCCAAGTCCTGCTTGATGTCGCCCTGGACCTTCCGGAGCTTAGCAACTTCAGCACCTTGCACACGGAGACATTGACTAGCCTTCTTTCTGAGGTGGACCGAGAGCAGCCCTGTAGTTCCAAGGCGATGGCTATTACTGGGCGCGAGCACATGAAACAGCTTTGTATTGGGCATTTGCCAAAACGCTCGGGGTGCATCCAGCAGAACTGCGCAACTTGGAAGAAACCTTCACACAGAAGTCGGATCTCGGCATCTCGAAGTGTTTGCAGCTCAAACGTTTGTGCTAGCGATGCGAAGCCGAGTCTGTAAACTGCACAGCCGGGCCCTAAACCAAGCAAAAGGGCGTGATAAGCTGAAGTTTCTTCGGCGACAGGCAGTGCCATTATGGGGAGCAGTAGCAGCAAGAGGTAGCAGCAGCATTGGTGGTAGGAGTGGGAGCCGCAGGCGGCGGAGGAGGCGGAGAAGTAGGTAGCAGCAGCATTGGTGGTAGGAGTGGGAGCCGCAGGCGGCGGAGGAGGCGGAGAAGTAGTAGTAGTAGTAGTAGTAGTAGTAGTAGTAGTAGCAGTAGCAGTAGTAGTAGTAGTAGTAGTAGTAGTCGTAGCAGTGGCAGTAGTAGTGGTAGTAGTAGTAGTGTAGCAGTAGTAGTAGTAGTAGTAGTAGTAGTAGTAGTAGTAGTAGTGTAGTAGTAGTAGTAGTAGTAGTAGTAGTAGTAGTAGTAGTGCTAGTAGTAGTACTAGGACTAGTAGAGTGTGCAGGGAATTTAGAACAATTGCTTGAGAGCAAGATTGCCAAGCAATCTTACTACACTGTTGGTCTCGCCGACTGGTTTACCTTTTAGACCAAGATTGCAAGGGAGGGGCACAATGTACTTAGCATTAGTAGTAGTAGTCGTCGTCGTCGCCGTAGTAGTAGTAGTAGTAGTAGTTAGTAGTAGTAGTAGTAGTAGTAGTAGTAGTAGTAGTAGTAGTAGTATCAGTAGCTGATGTAGTAGTAATGGCATGGTTGTGGGCTGCAGGCCCGCAAGGTTTTGACGTGTCAGGCGGTTAGTATCGCTTCGAAGCGGAAGGGGCCAACGGGCCACTTGGAGCAAATCCAAGTATGTTTCGGGTATGTTTCAGGTATGTTGTGGGCATATTACGGGAAACCGTTCCTGTGTCGAGCTACTCTAGACGTTCGCTCACTGCTAATTTCATCCAGGCGATTGGGATAACACGGGGGAATGCTTCAGGGAATGCTTCAGGGCTTGCTTCGCTCAATGCCAGCACCCCGCCAAGATCAGAAATGGAACCCCCAGCTAAAACAGACAGACCCAACTAAACTAAACTACAAACTTACACCTAACACCTAAGCTTGAAAACCTAAGCCCCCACTCGCGAACCCTAGCTTCGGCTCTCGACTGTTTGAGGAGCAGAGTTCTTGTCAAGGCCCTTCATATAAGCTACCATCGAAATAACTTCTTGTCCTATCTTGCTATATCTCCTAAGCATGACGATAACTAGTTCTAACTGCTATCCTTAGTACAGTAACGTCAAGAAAGCTCCTTGACAACAGCTTACAGGAAATGCAAGACAACTCACTTACCACTAACAGCTCTAAACACGCCATATAACCCGTTAAACCCTACAAAACCCATGTATACTCCCTATACTAAATGGAAACCCCACCCCAATGGTGCTACCATTGTAAAGAAACAAAAAGATCAACCGCAAACCCTAAACCCTGAACCCGAACCCATGAAAGCCTAAACCCCTTATAAAGACCCGCAAGCTTCCCCGAAGTCGTTAGGGCCCCTTATCTTATTGTAATTCTACGACGAAGGAGCCCAAATGGGCGTTTCCGAAAATAGGGGACCCTAATATAGCACCCCAAATAGTAGAATGCTTGTTACAAGTTACAAGGGCCCCAACATAAGGTACCCCTTGTTTTCGGAAACTCCCAAATAGTTTATATAAGCGAGCCCAAATAATTAGACTAGACAGGAGCCCAAAAGTAGTCTAAAGAAACAAGAAGATCTGGTGAGCCAGGGGTAAGCCAGGGCAAACTCTAGCCCAAGCGGCCTCCAGGAGGGGCCGGAGTTCGGCTGCCTGGGAAGTGGTTTAGGGTTCAGGGTTTAT